CATCCACAAGACATGCCTGAAGCTCTACACTCCAGAAGTAAAACACTTTAGATGCCTTCAAATGAGCTTTGATGATTCATGTCAGGAAGATATAAGAAATGTACACCTCCTACTGTACTCTTTATGTACTTCTTCAGGAGCTGAGTCAGCTTCTTTCCTGCCTCAATTCACAACCTGAACTCCAACCTTACCCTACCATCACTTTTCCTGAGACTCACATAAACTGTGGAGCTCACAGCAGGAGGTGGAAATTTTTTAAATTGCTCTCACATGTACCACCAAGATGAGCCTGAACATACCCAAAAGGACAGTATTTTTAAATAGTATCTTTGGTACTGATTTACCAAATAAGAATAGAATCATTAAGTATTTTGGATACACTTCCTTAATGCTATCTTCCATAGTGTACATCTGCATCTCCACAAAAACTGGATGAAAAGCATGGGGTCTTTGGTCAGTAGTCCAGTACTTCATTGCTTGAGAATATCATAAACCTTCAACAGAGAATTTTATACTGAGGTCAGATAAACTAGCTTTTCCACCCCTTTACAGCTGCTATCATAGCCTGAACCACAGGCAGTAAAAGCTGTCTGGAGGGCAGATACATAAGCTTTCCACAACAGCATGAACAACAGAGACATCTGCTTATTAGCATGTTGTCAAGTCATGCTCTCAGTTATATGATGGACTGTTATTTTTCAGCATGGTGCTGTGTTTTTCTTCTGTGATAGGCCTTTAGGATCACAGTATGTCAAAGACATTGTCTCACTGGGTGAGTTAAAATTTACAAGGGTATGTCTCTATCCTATTATCAGCATTTTGCAGACTCAAACTAAAGCTAGTGCTGTGTCAGCAGGTTTGTTATGGATCTAAAAGGGGCGATTTCTTAAATTACAGGATAGAAAGAGAAAATAAAATTAGTGTCTCTGCCTCAGCTGAAAGAAAAAATAATAACTGTTTTCTCTTTCCTTGAAAAAGTTCTCACACTAAACACATCATTTTCTCGATCATGAACATCAGCATTAGAAAATGAACAGCCATCTCAATGATGAGAACATTTAACAATTTTGTGAGACTACATAATCCATAATATTAGCCTTCCTTTATGACAAGAAATAAATGTCCCTCGTAATTTTGTCCACATACAGTCTAAGACAAATAAGAACTACCAGTAAAGGTTTTTGCCAATGATAAATTCACATCTATCTGACAAGCTCATGCAATATTCTTTTTCTAATGTTGTTCACAAAGTTACTTTGGCTATTAAAATTTTTGTTTGTTTGTTTGTTTGAATGCTTTACCGCTACGTACTAGCACTCTACAAAACATATACTAAAATAAACAGAGAAAATATGAGACAAGAAATTCCCCTTCTGTTTAGACTGAACTACTACACAAAACAGAAAAGCTCTCATTATTCTGTGGAATAGAATCATAAAGCCAATGTTGGCAATCTCAGGAAGCACTCTGCTTGTGGAGAAACAATGAGACTAGAATTCTTCTGAGACTATTGAAGCATGACTCCTCTATCTTATCTACAACTGTTCTGCACAAATTATTGCCAGCATGAGTGTCAGATAACAGTTCAGTTTGAAAAATGTCAGAGTATCCTTTCACCTGCATAGCCCCAATTTTGAGCTATATTAGCACCATTCCGGTTAGTTTCCTGGCCTGTAATTCCACTGTGCGCCATCAAAATTCAGTTCTAACCAGTCAGAGGTGGCTACTCCTGTACCCAAAGATATCTTTCTGCTGCAAACTTGTCAAGAATGATTTTCCAAACTTTTATCTCAGCTAAGACAAGAGAAAGGAGAAAGTATTTGGGGGGCAATAAATGGCCCCCAGTGGAAGAGAGAAACAAAAATTGTCAATGACGTAACTTAGGATTCCTGTGATCACACAACCATAATATCTGGTTTTGCTAAGGAATTTTTTTTCTGGACAAAGGTAAAAGAGATTGAATCTGCACTGCTGAAATATGTAGTATTATGTAGACTTTGATATGTGGTACATTGTTACCTCACATGAAAAAGAAATGGAGTTGTTCAAGAAGTTAAGCCGGAAAAGTGTGTGGGGTAAAATAGTTCATACCAGAGGGAGAGCCAAAGACAATATTCTAAAGGAGATCCTGAATGATCCAGTCTTAATTCCACTAAAGTTTTAGATCCAGCTATGATTCAGTCTACTAACATTGTTACTTTCATTATGAGCTTGGAACTAAAGTGTGTGTTAATGAAATTTTCAGATGGTTTAAACAGAGGCTTTATTAAAAGAGATGCAGACTGGAATATAGAAACAACTGGATGAGCTCGCATATTGGAATGCAATGAAATTACAAACTAATAAACAAGCAGCTGCAATGACAGAGCTCATTAGCTGGAAATATTAGTCTATCGAAGTACAATTAAGTGGCCATGAGACAACATACATAAGATTCTAGTATAGATTATGTAAAGTTCTAGAAGTTCAGTACTAACATAACAGTACACAGCAACTGACACACTACAGTTTTGTATGCTATTTAAGAAAGCCACATTCAAACAGCAAAAAGAACTCACAAGAACAGTTAGCTTTACTGATAAACTGAGAAGCCCACACTGACAGAAGAGATCATAATGGTTTAAATGGTCAAGCGTAACTGTTTTCTAGAGCTTTGTCCATGAAGGCAGGGTGCACATTTTGCAGCCCCTCTAACCATTCATTCATATCTCTGCACCTATAATAGCCAAGAAGCATTGTAGCGAAGACCTCTTCAAGTACACTCTGGTTTAAAAACACTCAGGTGCTGTATATGCAGATTGTCTCACCAAGATTTGCTACTATGGGGTATTGCTACACACCCCAGCCTTTTCAGTTTATCTGAGATTCATGGTTGACACTTGGAAACTTAAGAATGGACAAAAATAAAAAAGGATCAAAATGTTGTTTGTCGTAGTTGAAAATCAGTCCACAAAACATACCAGTCAACCAAAGTACACTTACTGATAATAAACAAATCTAGACTATACTTAATACGTACAAACTGTCTTAATTGGTCTAGATATTTTGCATATGATTCAATGTGAGTCTTAAGAAGTAGCCCACCATATGAACCGTGTTTCAGAGGAATGAGTCTTGTCCCTGTGTTACAGCCTTACAGTATCCCTTCTTAAAGATCCGTTCCAATTTTAATCAATCAAGGAGAGGGAATATTCAGAATTATCGAATAAGTACTTGAGAATACTGCTCCTCTTCATTAAATTTAGTATAACTGCTCCATTGTTGCTTTGTTTTTCCAATTATTTTCTCAAGACTATTTGGATGTTTAGGAAATATTTAGAATTTCGTAGGACTATAAGCTCTTAGGAACGTGATCTACTCCTTCATTTAGGAAGTCAAGTGAAATGCTACTTTAACTGGTCTTCCCTTTCTAGATGTAACAGACCTTTCTACACTTTGCAGTATTCTGTAATTTTCATGTTGTACTGGCTGTACAGAAATCACTCCACCTTATGCTACAACCCCTGTTTATGTACACCATGAAATTGTGCATCAACAAGTCTAGAAAGTCTGTTAAGTGGGCACTTACATTAAGTTTATTCCTCTGCCATTCATTGCCATTTGCAGGAGTTCATTGCCTCACAAGAGCTAAAACATCCTCATGTATTCAAACTGATAAAATAGTAACTGCAAAAATGTATTCCTACTTTCTGCAAATACGACGGGACAATGAATGCTAAGGAAGAATTGAAAGATAATATTTGCATAAGGACTACCGACTGCTCATGAAAATGTGAATTTTTGCCATTAACAGAAAATGAAGTTCTCACAATGCCTGAAGCAACTGTGAGGTCAAAATTTCAACCATTTAAGACAAAACAACATACATTCACTGGATACTTTTGGTATTGTATGTATTTGTCTCCATCACTAAAAGGTGAGTAACCCAAATGCAGTGTTCTTTGATGTCTGCTCTGGTAATGAGCTGCACCAGATTCCTATAGTCACTAACCTTCACTGTCTTCACCAAGTAGGGAATAAGAGCATACCACTCTAATTGTACATTTCAGCATATTACCCTCCAAAATCTATTTAGAGACAGAATTTTCTCTGCTCGCTAATTTCCTAACATTCCAGCTTCATTACATGCTTTCAAAGTCCATTAAAAACTCACAGATGTTTCCTTATTCTACCCATAGTTTAGGAGCGGTTCTGAAGGAAGTACTAGTGTAGCACCTTTATTTTGCACCTCTATTGCCACAGAACACATCCAGTCTAGCCTCGAATGCCTCCAGGGATGAGGCGTCCACAACCTCCTTGGGCAGCCTGCTCCAGTGTGTCACCGCCCTCTGTTTGTAACACCTCTCCTCACGCTCCCGCCCGCAGCCACCTTCTCATCGCCCCTCCCGCCATAACTCTCGCTCCAGCCGTAGGCGGTGATCCGGCGGCACCGCGCAGGCGCGGCAGAGCCCGGCAGCACCGCGCAGGCGCCGCGGAGCCGCGCGGAGGAAGTTTGAACGGTGGCGGGTACCGGAGCCGCTGATGGAGTCCGTGCTGAAAGGTAGCGGCCGGGCTCTGCGGGGGCAGCCTCCGGGGCTGCAGCGGGCGCCTCCACGCGGCCTTCCCTTTGGAGCTGTCGGCCCTGGGGCTGCGGTGAGGGCCCGGATGGCGGCGGTCTTCTCGTTCCTGCGCGGCCTTCTCTGGCGTGGCTCGCCCCGCAGCCGCAGGAAGGAAAGGGATGGGGCGGGCAGTGCCGTGCTGCCTCGCGGCCGCTCCGGGGTCCGTGTGCCCGGGCGGGCGGCTCTCGGTGCCGGCGGCCATCTCTTCTTGCCCTGCTGCTGCTGCCACCGTCCTCGTGACGCCTTGGGCCCCGGCTCGGCGAGCCTTGCGTCTTGCGAAATTTCTCCCTCATTGGGTGACCCTGTTGGTTGTCGCATTCCCACTACAGATGCCACCTTTCAGGCCTGTTAACCTACCTCTTTCAAAGCCCTTCTAGCTCAAAAAAGTTCTGGACTTTCTGGCTTTCCCTTATATCTGCAATGCAAAAGCTACAAAGTGTTTTCTTCGTTGTTTCCTAAATGGGGCAGTTACTGTAAAGCATCCCTTTGATCCCACGGCCAGTTCGTGCTGCTTTGAAGAGAACTCTCTGAGTTCCCAGCATGGCATTCGCTGGTAGGTGCGGACTGCAGCTGTGAAGGTTTTAAAGCATTTGATGAAGAAGAAGGAGAAGAAAACTTTGGTTGTTTTGGATGGGGGCACAATATTTTTCACAAAAGAACAGCCAGCAAAAAGCTGTCCTGGTCAAGTGCTAAAATGAACTTAGGTGAAATGAGGGAATTGGTTAGGCTTATGGTCCCATCAGCATCTGAAGTTAGAGCACTGATAGTCATTTATTTCCATCTGATTTGGCTAAGGAGGTGTCCTAGGTTTCCTATTTCTTTTATGGATTTAAAACTTAAGCACTAGGATAGGCTCCCCAGGGAGGTGGTTGAGTCACCATCCCTGGATGTGTTTAAAAACCATTTGGATGTGGTGCTCAGGGACATGATTTAGCAGAGGGTTGTTAGAGTTAGAGTAGTATGGTTAGGTGGTGGTTGGACTCGATGATCTTTAAGGTCTTTTCCAACCTGAGTGATTCTATGATTCTAATTTGTAGCAATTAAAAAAATATTAATCTTTATGAAAGTACTGCAGTTAGAATGTAATTGTCTTTTACATTTAAGAACATGGATGACATGTATGACCTTCCAATTCATTAGGTAATGTATGTAACTCCTAAAGAAATGCCACCTACGGCTACAACAGATACAATAACGCTATTCAAAAGAGCAAGTTCTTAAGTACAAAATATCAAAATATTGTACTGCAACATAGTTACCACCATTAGATATACATTTTGTCAGTGATGAACAAGAATCTGCATGCCGCACATTGGAGGCGACCCACTGTCACTGCTACTGAAACGTGCCACTCATAGTGCCCGCATCCACTGTTTGGTCTCTATAAATGTTCAGCAAGCATCAGTGAATGCCAGTGGGTGCTTTTTTTTTTTCTTTTTTTTTTTTTTTTTTCTTTTCATGGAGGAATTTAAACCTTTGCCTCATACACGCTCCCTATCAGAGGAGATAGTTAAACAGTTTTTGCTGAGGATGAACCTTCTAAATTTAAATCAAAGCTTTAAATTTTATTCCTGAGCTCTGAGTGTCACCTGGCCTGCAGTTTGCTTTAAGTTGGTTTTGGTGAGCTGACATTCTTCCAGTTTTCTGGAATTTTCCTGATCTGCTATTCAAAAGGGGAAATTGGTATGGCCAATGCGGCTATAGGTCATCTGAAGTCACACTAGCAAAGGGATTATTAAAAGTTTCATTTGCTTATCCTTCTGTGTCAATACATCTGGGATTGTGGGTTTTTGTTGTTGTTGGTTTGTTTTTGTTTTGTTTTTTTTTAATTTTTTAAGACTTACTGAGCCAAGACTATTTTATTCCTTAGAGAGATTCTTAATCTGATTGATGAAGTAAGCTGCTTACTTGCAATATATCTAAACTTCTGTAAAGCAGGTGACGTGAAAATTCATTAGCCTTTGTGATAGATACTTAATTTCAAGGTGCTATGATGTGTTAAGGTGGAATTTTAAGTCAGTTGGGAATGGTTATTTCTACATATTTTTATTGAGATTTACTGAAAGGGTAATTCCATATTTATTTCTACATCTTATGTAGCTTGTGTTATGACTTGAAGATTAGCAATAATTAAAACCAGCCATGGAAAGATACTGCTTTGCCTACTGAGTTTGTAATGTGTTCTAAAAAGTGAGAAATTGTTTAATGAGTGCCAATCTTACTAGTTCATTGCAAGTAATTTAATGGGCAGAAATACTCAAAAAAATTTCTATTGGTAATACCTGATATATTGTTCAAAGCTATTCTTGCTATTGAGCGTGTATGAAGGGAGTATTAAAGTAAATTATTTTCTGAGGGACAATTTAACTAGTTTTACCACAGTGCACTTAAATATCTATTGTTTTCCCTCTCCTGATTCCAGGTATATGTGCATTTGTAGAGGTTTGGTCATCGAGCAGAACAGAAAATTACTCGAAAGCCTTTGAGCAGCAACTTCTTGATATGGGAGCAAAAGTAAGGAAACTATTTTGAAATTAATAGAATAGGAAAAATCTTAATTACAAACTTAGCTTGTTCTGCTTGTGTATTTCTTTGTAGAAGGAGATTTTAAAGGGTGGGAAGGAAAAATAATCATAAACTTGAGAATATATGATTATGCTTTAAGGTTCTTATTAGTGGCAGATAAAAAATACATATAAAGCCTTCTTAGGGATACATGAACTTCCGTGTCTGTTAATATGCTATGAAGTATTGGTCTTGCTCCATACTGGGGACAAACCAAATCTAAATGTCAAAAACCTAAGTCATTTACATGTTGCTTTCTTTTCTATAACTTGTAGGCTGCTTGTCCATTGTTACTGCCGTGTTTTCTAACCTATGTACTGTGACATTCTTCTTTTCAGTCTCCAAGAAATGTAGTTCATTTGTAGGAAGTGCTTGTAGAAATACATCTAAGAGTCTTTGCATATGTCTTGGTGACTTTTCCACATAAAATATATTTGGGTTGTAGATGCAAAATTTAAACTAAAAACCAGCCAAACAGGCATCTTGCCTTCCTGCACATTATTACTGTTCAGTGGAGATTTTTTTAAAGCCCACACTATGCTCTAAATAACACTTACGTGAACTCCCAGTGCCTTATAAGTGGGCACATGTAGATGTATTTCATGTATCTCATGTCATCTACATATGTAGATGTAATTTAGGAAGTTTTGCTAATGTCCCCAAAGCCTCACTTTTTGTATGAATTTAGCTGAGGTAGCATGACAGAACAACTCTTTTTATTGTAAAAGCAAATACAACTCACAATAAATAATTTCACTAATAAATTCTTTTGGTGGTGTTTTTTTGTTTTTTTGTTTTGTTTTTTTTTTTTTTTTTGGCTGTGCTGTGAAGTCTATTAAATTATGTTCTGATGGCATTACATTTTACTCATGAAAAATGTGATAAGGCTTCACATTTTCACAAGTTGTATTTTGTTGATCTGGAAGTAGCTTGATAAGATAAAAGGTATATAGGAGACTGTGGAGCTAGGTGAGACTATTGAGACAATTCACCAGGACCAAAAAGGAATGATCCTGTCCCTTCAATATTTAACTCCTGGCTGGACACTACGTTACCTTTTGTTGGGCTGAGCATATGGTAGTATACTGGCTTGGCTTATTCTGTCAGGAAAGAAAATTGTGAATTTTTGTGTGTTTCCCACTGATGATTGGTTCAGATGTACCAAATTGAGGCCAAGTGATCAATGAATGACCTCCAGGGTCAGAGATGAGATGAAAGAGAGGACTTCTGTGTGTAACTGTATATTGACTGATGGCTTCATTGTGAGAGGGAGGCCTAAGATAGTGATGCTCCATAATTTGGTGGCAAAGCCTTATCAAACATCAGGTCTCCTTAGCCTGTGGGCTAAAGCATGAGCCTGGTAGCTAGAAATGACAATACATTTGTATCTGGGAGTCATACATTTTTCTGAAAAAGACTTGTTTTTCCTAGATACTTACATCTCGTGGGTGTTGTCTTTTGAAAAGCAGTAAATCAACTTGCTATCAGAAATGTTTGGAGAAGCTGAATAGTTTTATTAAAGCCAAATATAGTGATGCAATTGAGCTAAACATCAGAGAGCTACGCAACTCCTTATGTCTGACTGTTGAGGAGATGTTGCTGTAAAATGTGAATTATTAACTTGATGATTTTGGTATATTCACAACAACTGAACAGTTTTATATTTAGAAATGTTGTTTGTAAAAAGTGGAACATCTGGGACTGAAAGCATTAACATTTAGTTGCTATTACAAGTTTATAACTGAAGATTTAAGCAGTTATGCATCACAGTGAAAATGTCAGTTGTGATGTTAGCTATGCTTACCTGAGTTTCCTGTATTTCTCACCCTTGTTTTTAAAGTGTTCTCTCACAGTTGTTTTTTGGTAGCAACAGCCTTCCCTCAAAACTAGAAGTGATTACTATTATTGAGAATTAGTTTAAAAGATGACGTTACCTGTATTCTAAGTTTGTGAATTCTTTACTAAATGAAAGACACAACTGGCATTTCTTTGGATAGTGGCAACTAACTTCTGTACTGATGGTTTCATAACGGTTTCTGGCTACTTAAACAATAATGCTGTAAGATTAGTGATATAGAAAGAGTAGGGAAATGGAAATGGTAGCACAGAGAAAAGAAATTATGAAAATAAAAGGCTACTGTAGCCCTCCAGCTTGTTTTGCATTGACAATCAGACTTGGGCTTTGATTGCTTCGGGCTTTTTGCAAATACAGAAAAGATCAAAGCTATCCTTGACATACTGTTTAGAATAAGCTCTTATGCTAGTGTTTCATGCAAGAGAAACAGACCACTCCATCTAGTTTCATTAATATTTTCTGATTTTCAGACTCAAAGATGAGCTCTCTGTTTACTTCTGCAGGTTTCAAAAACTTTCAACAAGCGTGTGACACATGTAGTCTTCAAAGATGGACATTCAACTACATGGAGAAAAGCACAGAGCGCCGGTGTAAAGATTGTTTCTGTACTCTGGGTGGAGAAGTGAGTACTATAGAGCATAATGAATGTGACCTATTCCACAAAATTCCACAAAAACGACCTGTTTTTTCTTATGTACCTGAAACATTGTTAAGTCTATGAGTAAATGATAACTTTCTTATGACATTTTTTCTATTGTAAAATGTGTTACTTCTACAGACAGATGGTGTGTTATCTATTGAAAATGAGTGTGTTGAATTAGCTGCATGGTATATTTGTAGTGTTCCACTCCTTTGCTCTCAGATGGCATGCATTGTCAATGAAGACAAGATATTTATGCTGAATTGAGTTATTCCATTTCCATACGAAAAAGTACATTTCATCAGGGGCAAAAATGAAGGAAGTATTGGTACTGTTTCTCAGTCTCTAGACAGAGTATCTGTTAGCAAGAAAGAAAAAGATCTCTATGTAGTCTGTCTCTTAAGACATTTGTCAGGTTCAGCATGGCACTGCTTGAAGATTCTTGACTACCGTAAGGAAAAAGTTATATTAAAAAAAACAAAGCAGCGAAAAATTTGAACATCACTGCCATTTTGTCTGTAGTCTGTGGCATCTCCTCTGTGTTTAAGAAGTTGTTGAAGCTTAACTTAAATTTCTGATAAAGTTTAAAAACATACTACTGGTTTTTAATACACATATGTTATATTCAAACACTCCGATTCTTAAATTGCTGTGATGATGGAAATTAGAATATAAGTGAAGTAAAAGGGCTTTTTCTTATCGAGTAAGTATCATGTGCTTAGAGAAATAGCAGTCTGAATAAGATAAAACAGCACAGCGCTCTGCAGCTTTGAGATCAAGCTTTTATGCCTCAAGAAACTAACTCTGTCAGGATGCCAGTACCAAATGAAAAGTTGTGACAGTGTCTAGAAGGAAAATGTAAGCTGTTCAATAGGAAACAAAAAGCTAGCATCTTCCTGACATTCTTAAAAGTATTCCTAGCATCAGAGCAAGGTTTTGGTGTTTGTCTTCTTGTAACTGGAGAAATCATCTGATGTAGAAGATATAGAGATGTGCTTTATTGAGGTGGGAGCACTGATAATAATGATGAGTGAATAAACTTCTCTGTAATCTTTCTCCTGCCACACATCCCTGCTTTTGCTGCCTGTGCATCTCCTTCTTATCCCTCAGTTTGACCAGCAAGCCCTTGCTCAGCCATGCTGGTTTCCTGCTTCCTTAGACTGGTTTCTGAAACATGGAAATGGTGAGCTCGTTTGATCTCAGAACGGTGTCCTTAAAGAGCTGCCAGCTCTGTTTCATTCTTTTGTCCATAAAGACAGCTTTTCAGGGGATTCCATCCAATAATTCTTTAAACAGCTGGAAGTTCGCTTTTTCTAAGGTTCAGGGTTCTGACTCTGCTCTTTGCCAGGCCTGTAACTTTCAAGATCACAGACTCAACCAGGGCATGTCACTATGGCCCAGAATGCCTCCAGTCTTAATCCTTTAATGATGTCCTTTGCACTGGTGAGCACCATTTCCAGTAATGCTTCCCCTCTGGTCAGTTTGTCTTATACCTGGTCCAGGAAGTTATCTTCAGTGCATTCCAGGAGTCTCTTGGATTGCTTGCAGCCCACAAGTGTTGCCTTCCTAGTAGACATCAAGATGATTGAAAACTTCAATGAAAAAAAGAGCTGGTGAGTGTGATGCTTCTGGTAGCTGAAGTGAGAAGGCCGTGGATGTGTTCAGAATGATGGCAGAAAATGACATCGAGAATGACTGAAAGTATAAGATTATTTTCTCACAAGATGTGATTTGAAGAAACAAGAATTATCCTGGAAAAGAGGCAAGAATGGCGAGTCAGAGATCCCTCTTTCATATGAAAACAAAGGTTAATATAAAGATGCTGAACAGGGAATGAATGTATATTATTCCTTCTTTAGTAGAAGAATTGGAGAATTCACATGAATTTGACTGGAGACAAATACTGAGAAAATAGTAGATGGTTTTTAGCAAGATGTAGTTAGGCTGTAACTCCTTGTAGAATCAATATAGACTGCAAAGGTTTATGTGGATTTTAAAAAATCCTGAAGCAATTAAGCAGTTTTATCAAAACAAACAAACAAACAAATACAATGTTGCCTCAGACAATCCTTATGCTATGAATATGTAGCAAAGCAAAATGGGAAAGTTCGACTGTTTTCTTATATGCTCTTGGGTATTGTGATATTGATACTATGTGGTATTTAATCCAGGCTCTACTCTTTGATATTTGAGCCCTAAAAACACCAGACAAGGCAGCAACTCATCAACAATTACTCCAGCATTTCCTGATTATTCTACTTTATGCCAAGTATTTTCCCGCTTGACAGCTGTTGAACCACTACTTATGAACCGTTCTGCATGTATTCCACTGTTATGTTCCCCTGAGTAGTACATAAGCCTTTCATAGGAACATGCCCTTTGACTTGGAAAACTGTAGTATTTGCTTTTCTTTTTAAAAAAAAACATCACAAATTATTAGTGTCGGGGCCTGTGTGAACGTTGCCTCTTACTTAAGAGTGCTCTTGCCAATGATCTGCCTGAGATAAAGCTTCTGCTCCATGGGCATGCTTGAGCATAAACTGAATAAATGTGGTTCCATTGTTTAACAGGAAGTAATGTTATCTGGAAGAAAACTTGATGACCCCTGAAATTTCAAAAAATTCATAAATCCAGAATACATTTCTTTAAAAAATAAAACCAAACAGGTTTAAAATCATAAACTAGATTTTAATAATAGCCACAGAAATTTAGCAGGCTGATTATCATTTTTAATTGGTACTCCAGACAACTTTAAATTCTGTGTTAGCATTTACAAACGTGATCATTAAAGCGATTTGACACTAGGTGTCACTAGAATCACAGTCTTCTAAAGGAATTCTAGTAGTCTGCAAAGGTTTTGGCTCCTTTCCGTAACCAGTTTTACTACAGAAAGCATGGCTCAAGAATGAAACCTTACCAGTTCTGACTAAAATATATCTTCCATTACCATGCTGATAATCAAGTTCTTGTCTCAACATCATGCATAATGTGCAGGTATATGATAGATATGTATGATATTCCAAGACAGCACGAGTCCCGCTAATCTCAATTCAGACTTAAAATTATTTAAAAAGAAATCTAGGGGTGGAATATCAGTTTGATTTTTTTTATTATTTTTTTTTTTTTTTTTAATTAAAAAAAATATAGAGATAGCTTTACTTCACTGCAAGGGGCTGATTTTAGCATTGTATATACAAAGAGAAGACAGAAAATGAAACTAATTGGTAAGAATTCAAAGCCAGGATCAGATGAAACTCATGATCTTGCTTACTAGGAGCATTATCCTTTCTTTTCTTATTTTTCCTGACATACTGTAGTTTGTAGCTGAGTCTTTACTGCCATCAGGATGACAAATAACAATTAAGTATCTCATTAGCTACTGCAGAATGAAAACCTAGAATCCCCAGAAAACAAAAAAGATGCTAAATCTTCCACTCACGTGACTTGGTCCAGATTGACTTCATTCAGTGATTTTTGAATGTGTGAGGGAATAGTATAAGTGTATTATCTTTGAGCTTTAGGGCACCAATACAGCAATTTAGAGAACACTGTAAGGACAAAAAATTGTCATGTCCTTTATTTGATTTGTAGTTGTAAAGTTGTTGGGGTTTGGGTTTTTAGCATTGCAGTAGTTATGCTAAGAATACTTGGAAAGGGTTTAATGAATGCTGAACTCAAGTAGTTGTTTTTTTTTCCAGCAAAAGTTCTCATTATTAAAAACTAAATATGACAGCTCTATTTTATTACACAGATGTCGAGAGACTGGAGTACGTGTTGATGAATCTTTGTTTCCTGCAGTATACAATAATGAGGGCTTACCACTAAAAGTGAGTAAAATTCTAATAGCCTGACCTCGAGCATTTGAACAGTTGATTTTCAGAGCTTCCTGTAAACTCTGAGTAGGTTTTGAAAGATAATAATTGAGTGTTTATATTGGTGTATAAAGAGGTGAAGATTTAAACGATGACAAAATGATCTGCTAATCCAGATCAACTAACTGTAGAGTACCTTGTGTTTCATTGAGCTACAAACAAACAAACAAGAAAAAAAAGAAAAAAAAGTTGATAGCTTCATCTCCCTTTTACTAAAATCTGATTAAAAATATCTGTTAATCCTTTGTCATTTCATATTACAATTTGTTTTGGAAAATGTTAACTTTGCAATTATGTAGAACTGTTAGAGAAGTGATTATAAACCAGTGTTAAACACTGATCATAAATACTGTGTTAAAATGGTAGGGAGAAGGAAGTCTAGTTAGGAGAGTTTTTTACCATAGACTTGATAGTTTTACATGTCTTCTAGCACAAATGTATGCAGCCAAAGGACTTTGTTGAGAAAACTCCAGAAAATGATAGAAAACTGCAGAGAAGACTGGACCAGATGGCTAAGGAATTAGCTCAACAAAGGATAGGAATTAATGCAGGTAAGAATTTCTTTGGACTAGTATTCAAATATCTTAGTTATTTCTTGAAAGCCCTTAAAGTGAATGAATTTTTGAGGATTTGTTTGTTTCTTTCTTTTTATGCTTTTGTGCACATCACTGTAATGGATAAAGTTGATTTACATTTTACAGAATTGTTAGCAAATTTTGTTTTGTTGGACTTTTTTTTTTTTTTTTAAACAAAGCAGTACTCAATCTGAAGCTGTTGTAGTACAAATTGTTATTAGAAATTATTATAAGTAATTAATAATGTACAATATTTTTTGCATAGAAACTGATATACCGGTTTTACTGTTTGAAGATGATGGTTCACTTGTGTATAGCCCTGTTTCTAAAATAAGAAATCAATGCAGTGAAATGGAAAGAAGAATAAATGAGATGAAGGAGAAAAGAGAAAATCTGTCTCCTACAGGTAAGAAGTTAAACTTTATTTATTCATGAGCATACACAAATGGCCACCATTTTTATTGCTGCACTTTTTGCCATGCTTTTTCTGCTGTCTCTCAGAATTACTCTTACTGTACTTTTCTTGAAATATTTAATTACCTAGACTCAGAATGGAAATATCTGAATAGAATTGTGTAAGATAAAGCCACTGAAATCAGTTAGCATTAATCATTATGTCGGTAGCATTTTGTGAGACAATAGCCCATAACTCATGTGAAATGAATGCTGACTTTTCAGAGCTTTGAATCCCACTAAAATGCAAAGGGATACTGATCTAAATGATGCATGCAGAAAGAGTGCTGCTTCTTTCTTTTACAGTCTGGAATTAGAGCTGTCACTATGCCTATTTTGTACCTGATGCTTTGTTTTATGATTTGACCTGAATGCCTCTTAAATATGATGATTGAACCTAAAATTTAAGTATATTTTTTCTTTCTAAGTCATTTGGATTTGAACTGATTCTAGAATCTGTAAGTTCTTAAAACTCATCTCTTGTGTATTTTCTGTGCGTCGGACCACCGTAGCTGCAGGGTCACTGCACAGTACTCCCTTCTTCTCAAGTTTTGCATTTCTGTATTGAAAGTGACATAAGATGACAAGGAAGACAATTTTAACAAAATGGAATTTCTTAATCATAATACAGATAAGGAATAATAATGACTAAAATAGACTTTTAGATTTGTAATTTGCTATTATAACTTGGTTGAACTTTATAGCAAGATTCTAAATCTTATTTCCTATTAAATTCTAATGTGAATCCCATAGTTAACAAAGATTGTAATGTTATTACTTCCACACCAACAGTTTAAAAAGGAGTTCCAAAATGCTAAGGCACCTGTTCACATGCTGAAGAATGGGATTTAAGTAACAAAAAAAGACCTAAGTGAATAAAAACCAGATGACTTGAAAATGCGGATCTTGGTGACTTAAATCTAGACTCCAGTTTTCAAATAATTTATCAGTGCTTGTGTTGTCTCATGGTAGGGAATAATCTGTAGCATTTGAAGTTTCAAGAAACCTGTCAAATAAACTGTCATTTTATGCCTCCAAATACAATTTTGAAAGGAAATTATAGAAGCAGTTATACATTGATGAAAAATTAAATCTTATTTATTTTAGCATGGCTTGTATTTGTTTTTTCTTGCATTTTTAAGGTAATACTTCCAAGGGTTTTGAAAAGCATTTCTGCTGTATGGAGGCATCTCTACTAGCTGCGGAAGTTACCAGATTCTTTTGTTAAAACATCTCAACTGACTTAGAAGCACCCATAATATTTCATCAATAGTATTCTTTCATTTCAGAAAAATATGGTGCTGAGTTTTCTAGAAGAAATTCGATTCATTTGAAAAACATAATAAATTTTTTGTGAGTAAATAAGTTTGAGATACTGTTAAGCAGTCTATAATTAGTTGTCGAAGCACCCACATCTCTTAAGATTGAACTGTTTTTGAGATATGAATAGATGCTGTAGAAACTTGTATGTCTGCACGTAGAGCTGACTGATTTATCATTTGCAAATTCCTAGCTTCCCAAAAGTTTCAAGCACCTCTATGTTGCTCACAAGGAGACTGCCCATTGTCTACCTCTGTAACTAACTCAGAAGACACGTTATTGCAAGGTAACTATCTCAACTTTACTTACATGTTAGAGAATTTAAACATGATACATGATCTGTATATCTTATTTTAGTATACTAATCTATCACCATTCAAAATAGGACTTCTTATGTTTGTTCTATTATTTATATTTGAAGTTGAATTATTTTAGTTTTCTGCTAATTGGCAGAATATGCAGGAGTAAGAATTCAAGGAACTGGAGCAAGAGAAGTCACGCTGTGTAAATGTTGTGCCTTACTGCCGCATTGCCTGTGTCACTTTCTTGTGTGACAAGTAATTCTATTCCTTGTTAGTGCCTTCTTGTTCTGGCATTCTGTCAGTTTACTGATACAGGAATTTTGCAGCACTGCATTAAGCTCCCCACGGAGCCACCATCCCTGGATGTGTTTAAAAACCGTTTGGATGTGGTGCTCAGGGATGTGATTTAGCGGAGGGTGATTTAGAGTTAGGGTAGTATGATTAGGTTGTGGTTGGACTTGATGATCTCTAAGGTCTTTTCCAACCTGAGCAACTCCATGATTCTGTGTATGGAACAAAGAGCTTAGTGATGTGATGTGAAAACAAAGTGAACTGAATAAAAAATAAAACTCACAAAACTGATCTGTCTTATAAATTTTCAAATGAAAAATCTGAAAACCTAATGCATTCTCCAGCTTAAGTATTCAGAAAGTGACATATATTAAGGTTCTTGTACTCAGTGTTTTAGATTTTAGCGCCTGTGTTTTGAGGTAGTAGCAGGACATAAGACAGAGAATGATTGTGAAAGTTGTTAAGCTACATTTGTGGGTTTCTTAACAACATTAAGAAATAATGTCCACAATGTGTGGTGTACTTCATACTGCATGTCTACTGTCAGAACAAAAAGATAAAGATGGATTTTAGTAGAAAAGTAAGAAGTCAGCTTTTGGAATTCATAATGAAGACCATTTGATTGGACTGCCTTCTTCATTCTCCTCCACCAGAAAAGTGTATATCTTTTTTTTAATGTTGTACTGACATCATACAGAAAATCTGTCATGCTGTCTTATATGAGAACAGAGGCAAAATCATACACAGTGGTATCCTGACACAGCTAGATATGCCTTCACGCAATTTCAGAAAGAAGTAGTAACTTGATACTGGAAGTAGCATAACTGTATCACTGAACTCTTTTATCTCAGTAAATTGGTTGTGTGCTGATAAGGTTAAACATTGATTTGAGCACTTTACCTTGAATATGCCCCTCTAGCATTACAGCTGCACTATAGATTTTTATATTACAAGGGCTGCTTTGAAAGTAATGCTCTCTATTATATTATGTTGGACCACGATGTAAGAGGTTGAACCTTCTCACTAGTACTCCATTACATTTTGTTGCCATGTGACAGATGGCAGCAGAGGGGCAGTCTGACAAAATGATGTCTGACATGAAGTGTGTATGCAGCATACGTGTGTCACTGAATTCCTCCAAGTGGAGGAAGTGGCACCTACTGACATTCATCAGTGCTTGCTGAACAGTTATGGAGACCACAAGTGGATGTGAGCACAGCAAGGTGGTATGTTTCAATAATGATGCTGTCGTAGCAGCTGTGAAATACTGGGTCACTCCTGCTAGTGCAGATTACTATGAGTGGAGTACACAGGCTCTTGTTTGTCGCTGGCAATAATGCACAGTTAATAGTGGTGACTATGCTGAAAAATAATGTGTTGTAGCTAAGAATTTGTTCCATGAAATAGTGTCCTTATGCTCTTTGTATCTGTTGTAGTTCCCATGGAAATAAATAGGAGCCTTTACTTTTGGAGCTATCCTCTATATCCCTGATAATAGTCAGTGTAGTTTCCATCTCTGATAGTCAGTCATGGTGACCCTTTTTTTGTAAGGCTTATGAGAGTGCGTTGGTTGACATTTCAATTGCAGCTTAATTCAGAATGTACCAAAATATACCATATGTTTAATTCATTATTAATATTTAGTGAGGAAATAAGATTGCTGTTTTCTCTGAAACCTACAGCAGCATTAACAAAGGGAGTACTGCTAAAACTTTGCACTCAACATACATTTGTTGTAAAAATAGAGTATAGAAAGTTGTATGGAACATCTGGATTCTTAAAACTGTATTTTCAATAATCAAAGATGCAAGCCTATTTCAGAGGAATTTACTGTGAAGAGTTATTAATGGTTTCTTTTTATTATCTCCCAAAATAATTTCTTTAGAATAACTGAAATATGTTATCTTTTTCCACATTGTTTTCTTTTACTACAGTACGTAGATTGTGATATTATTTTGTATTTAATTTCTTCATAACTCTGGGAAAACTACAAGAAGATGAGCAAAAATGATTATATAGATTCCAGCTAACTCTATCAATATAAAATCATGCTGCTTTTCTCACACATTAGAGATTTTTTCTGCTTTGTTTTAAGATAGGGTTTGTAAATAACACATAGGAATACATGATAGTAAACCCTATTGCAGCTTCTCATCAATATACTTTGTTTCTGTTTAATGACTTGGTCACTGAACAGTCAGGTAAGTGGCTATATCTTTGCTTTTTCTGTTCTATAATTTCATATGTGTTTCACTTAGAAATTTTGTTCTGTTTCTGTTTTCTCAACTGTTTATTTTGCTACTTTTCATATTTCACAGGAGAAAAAAAGAAAGACTGCTTAAACTCAAGCTGTGATGACTTTTTCGGAACTATTACATCAAAGAGACAGAAAAAAGACGTAGAAAACGTCTGCGATACTCAGACTCATACTCACATTTCTATGAGTGCTTCAGTGAATTCTCCCTCATGTGGCTGTGACCAGAAGAGCTTAATCCAGAAGCAATCTAGCAGAAGAACCTTAGGTAAAAAGCAGATTTTGCAGAATACTTTGCATGATAATTTGTATTTAGAAATAAAAGATCTAGAAAAGTTTTCAGAACAAAACCATAAGGATGGAAGTACAATGACTACTTCAGTTGCAAACAAAACTTATCTTCTACAGATCAAGGACTTGGTTTGTACTGCTCCTTCCCAAAAAACTGCTGAGTTAATTACTGTTAATAGTGCTTTGAATGACAGTCTCTCTAATTCACTTTTGAGCAGTGAAGAATTAAATACACATTCATTTGATAGAAGGCTCCCTTTTGGCAGAATTGATAGTCTTACAGAACACAGAAAAAGAAATCAACTACAAACACTGTCTAGCTTTAAACTGAGTGCATCAGGGTCTAAAAAGGTGTTCTTGCACTGGGTTACTATGGATAGCAAGGATCTGTGTACTGTCGATGCTTCTTATGAGGACTTCTTTTTCTCATCTGATTTGAATAAAGTCCAGCTACAAGGTCTAAATTAGCCCCAGAATCCTCCTGAAGTTTCTTGCAAAGAATCTTTTAGAGGCATGGGCTCAACTGATAGGTGTTTCTGAAAGCTACATACTATTTATGAGAGAGGTAGAAAAAAGTCTTTTAAAGCAAATTATGCTTTAATAAAGTAGTTTAAACTAGCTGAACATACGGAAAGCGTGCCATTAAATTTTACGTCTGATGGTGAAAAAGCTGAAATTGCAGGTCTAGATTAAATTTTGGGAACTATCTGCCTCAGTATGCCCATGCCCATCCTACAGAATCAGCATGAATTGCCATACTCACACTCCTGTTTAGTCTATACATACAGACAGAAAACAATACAGTACCATACTGCATTAGAAGCACTTGTACAACTAAATGCAAAATGTCATTCTCAATGGAAAAATGCTTGAGAATTACACAAAAAGAAAAATATGCTGCAGTCCAGACTTTTACTTAAATGAGTGTGTAGGAGCCAGAAGAACACACATTTGTATTCTCATATACTGCAAGCATAAAGTCATCAGGAGAGAGGGAAATTGGCTTATGAAATGCAACCAAACTGTGAGCTGCCTTCTTCCTTTTACAGAATGCTTGGCGTTCTGTAAGCTTTGTGCTACTATTCAGGCTGAAAGAGCTGGGTCTGTTTAGCCCAGAGAGGGGAAGGCTTTTGGGAAGCTTGTTCACTGCCTTTCAGTATATAAAGGAATTTATAAGAAGTAAGGTGACACACTCTTTAACGTATTCTACCCTGGAGACATTTGAAGTCAGACTGGACCAAGCTCTGAGCAGTTTGATCTAGCTGTAGATGTCCCTGTTCATTGCAGGGGAGTTGGACTACATAACCTTTAAAGGTCCCTTCCAACTCAATTGTTCAAGTCTTGTTTAAGGTAACAAGTTCTTCATCCTTTTAATGTTATGATACTTGTGTAGACTGTCTACAAGTAACTATTAAGCATAGCATTCCCTGTTAAAATTATTCTTACTTCACAATTTAAAATTACTGTTAAAGGCACAAAATCTCTAATGGGAAATAAACCCAACAATTTCTAACTTTTGCTATAAAGAAGAGTGATTTTGACATCTGAAGGCACACAGAATCAAATAATACTCTGAGTTGGAATGGTCCCTAGAAGATTGAGTCTATCTTCTTCACCTGGGGCAGCTGAACAATGTGTGAAGCAAGCATCTCTTTCAGTTATGGCTTTGTTTATATGGGGCTGATCTTTGCTTTTAATAACAGTTTTAAGAATATTATTTATACTTGAGCATTCTTAATTTAGTTTAGCATAAATTCTTCCAATGCAAATATGTACTAGAATGTTAAGTCTTGGCAACTCAGGAAAATTCTAGAATGATACTGTGAAAACGCTCAGTTCCGATAATTTTCCGTCAGGCAAAGATCTCGGGGAAGCAACAACGTTTTTATGTGTTATTGCAACAGTGGGCATGTACACCCCTGTGGCAAAGGAGAAAACAGGCGCTTGATCAGCGACACTTCTCGTTATACACTTTTTTTCCTCCCATCACGGGTAGCTACTTTCATGTTGCCCTATTGGCTAGGTACTCCAGGTTTACAGTCTAAGCAATACATCCACTTTTCCATATGAAGTCTATCACCAGTCTATTGTTTTTAGGATCATTCCATACATTTCTATGGATACAGGAGGATAATATTCCTTGAAGCTGTTATACCTGTTTTGTTCTGTACCAGGCTTCCTTACTCTGCTCTCCACTTTTGCTTCTCTTACTACTTATGAAAGCCGTGTTTAATTTTACATTTATTTAGCAGTCCTCCCCTTGTGTATTCCTTCACAAAAGCTCAACATTATTCATGTTTTGATCACACTGGGTATTGCTAAAGTCTTCTGGAATTTATTTCCTACCCTGGCCAGGATGTCCTAGTCTCCGCTCTATTCCACTGTTCAACATCTTTCTTGTGAAAAACAACCTGTGCATTCATTATAACCTACACAGCCGTTTTGTAAGAGTGTTAGAAGTTCAGTTAGGGCCTATACTTTGCTGTTGGATGTATCTATTGCAAAAACAAAAAACTTTCACAAAGCATCAATATATAATATAAAATTTATTATTTAAAGGGCAGAACAATTTTGGTTTCACGCTTAAGAAATCCATTCACTGGAAATATTACAGGGTAACTGTGTATTTATCAGTGGGAATTGAGCTGACTTGCTCTTTTGGGTTCTTTACATCTGTGTACATTGCTATATGATATTTAACAAACAATAAAATAGATGCACGTTTACATTATATAAGTGTACCCACAAATGTATGAACCCAATTAGCGTTAATTCTAAATCATGAATTCTAGTGATGAAATTGAGACCAATATTCTAGCCTGTTACACTTCTATTGGACAACTTGTTTAAGCTCACAGATTTTGGAGGAGAGGATTAAGGAAGGGTATTCAGCAAACAAAAGTTACCAGACACTTTTCCTTTCAATCCTTTCTGGTTACAAGCTCATCTGAAAATAGAAGAGATCAGTAATAAAAACTGAATTGTATTTTCACTGTTAATGGAAATTTTGTGGAAGAAAATTAAAATTGTGTTTTAAACTTCTAACTGTGACACTGTAAAATGTAATCATGAATATCAATTAAATATGGTTTTAATACATTCTGATGTTTATTTTCTAATATTTATTTTCCTTATTTCACGTCCATGTTAATTAGTAAATAAATAGTAGATTGCTTTGTTTATATGTTTTACATGGTTTGAAAACAGGTAAATAGTATATTATTTTATTACTTACCCCTTGCGTATGTATGGTTAGGAGTGATAAAATGCTCATTGTAAGATTGACTCAATGTCTGTATATGTTTAAATATCTAGCATTTTTCTTGCCCGGTTTTTAAGTTAGTGGCACTCCTACACGTTGTCTTTAATGACAAGATGTAACATTTGATAAGCATTCTCTTTACAGACTACTTTTACTCTTTGATTTTAAAGTAGCAATTTAACTGCTGGTTTGCATGCCTAGATTTCTACCAGTTGCAGGATGAGCAAAATGGTGGCTTTGAATTTAAGCTTATGGGTATACAGTGTTGCTGTTGTGAAGGCTGACAATCTGTGTCATTAGCAGATTTCCTTGTCATTCATGTTTTAAATCTCGCCCAGCCTGCAGGTCACATGACAGCTAGAAATGCGGCCCCACAAGACTGTAAATTGTTACCATTATCACGTGATTTTAGCGATACTTTTCATGAATATAATGTGCATAGCTTGAGTACAGACTTCATAGGCAGCAACAGAATGCCATGAGGGGAGGGCACAATACACTGTTAACTCAGCCTGTCACACTCACCACTGCACTCAATTGAGTCAAAACCAGCATGCCTTACATATGACACGCATGCCACTTGGTGGGTAAAACACCGTGATTGCACACAACTGCCTTTGTGTGTGCCTGTGAAGATACCAATTTTTGTCATTAAGCAGACATGTAAGTTTTCTTTCTTAGTTAATAAGCTTCAGCTTGTCTTATTGTGTATAACAATTTCATAAGTTAGTAAGTTAACATGTTTATTAGTTTCACTAAAACAAGGTCAAGTATCCCACTAATTTTGTGTTTTTGTTGCCCTTTTTTATGCTTTAATACAAATATTTTTTTTTAAATGTGGCCCAGGCAGGCCGTTGAACACCCATGTTATACATCAATTTGCCTTGAAATCAGTTCCGTCTGCTTACAGACCTTTGAGTAGGGTTGATGATAAGTTGGCACATGAACTACACCATTTAGAATGCTAATACTTAAATTCAATGAATTCCCATGACTTAATGTCAAAGCTATAACAATAAATGATATTAGGTAAAGAGTACAAGACTATTACTATTATTTTTTTAATCATCCTAAAATCACTTAAAGTTGAACTGGATCTAGCATTATTTCCAGTCTTGACAGTATATTTAAGGCTTAACTGAGTGAATTTAGATATTTACAGTAAATATGGAGAGCAAGATTATCTTAGTTGGCCGAAGGACATGAAGTAAGATCAATTATCATTTAGTAGGTGTTGTTTAAGACTGAAATAAGGAATTGGAAATATCATTATGTTATTTAGTACAAAAATGATCAAGTTTGATTTAGATGGGTGTGTTTTACCTGAGGTTCTAGGTCCAGAATATTGAGATAGGTGCTTAATTCATCTAAAATACTATGCATATCTTTAAAATTAAATTTAATTAATTAATATCATTTTACTTGTCCTTTAAAAACAGTGAGGAATGAAGAAAAGTTATGCTTGGTTCCTTGTTTTTTATCTTCACGAAAACTTAACTGTAATGTATTAAAACAAGAAGGACAAGTATTTCAAAATAGAGTTAAAGGTTATTTTGATGTTGAATTTATAAAGTCTGATGACACTTGCCATAAAAGTATAGAATAGTAGATGTGACGTAACTTAATTGCAGTGACACTTCAAGATATTCGTAAAGGAGAACACTACAGATAAAGCTTATAATAAATGTTCATGATTTTACTGAACAAAAAGTAGCACATAGTATCTAACCATTACTTGCTTTTTAACTCAAAATATCAAAGGGATTTTTGAAGATAATATTCTGTTTCTAAACTTCTCACTGGTGATAAATGATCGTGAATGATGAGAAACTGAAATTGTAAATTAAAGCCATTCTGTTGTTGTAATTTGTTGTAATAATCGAGAGACATCTCAGTTATGAAGATGTTAATACCAGCCACTGAGCAATGTTTTAGGATTTAGAAGACCTAATCACACAGTGCCATGAGTTTGCTGATTAAATTTATGGATAATAGTGAGTACAGTTGCTTCAAAGAATTCTCTCAACCTTATCAGAAATGCCCTAGGAAAAGCTAATGAAGGTGAAAACCTTACTTTTGACTGAGCAACTGTTTCTTAAAAATAATAAGAATAATAATAGTGAGCAGAAACATGGGCAGGGGAAGTAGGAACTGGATGGCCACGAATAACCCTTACTTATGTAGTATGCAGGGTCCTTGAGTTGATAATTAAAAAGATGATGGACTTTTCCTGCTGTCTTGTAAACGCAGAGAACAAATGAGAATGAAGCCAAACTAGAAAGAGGTCCAACCATCACTGGAACTTTGATCCAAGTCTTTGGGTTTAAATCTAAGTGGGGCAAGATTTAAGGTTCTTGAACATTCGGGTCAAGAGAGTCAAAAGGAATATTTGAGCACTTCTCACTACCCTGCCCCCCTTTCAGAAAAAAAAAAAAAAAAAAAAAAAAAAAAGAAGGAAAGAAAACAAGATGCTGGTGTATTGTCATTTTACAGTGAATTAAATGACTGGGAATTCTATTGGAATTTAACAGACTGATACCTTGTTTTTAACTAGTTTTCACTATGCAGTCCTCCTGCTTGGGGTGAAACAACGGAGTCAGTAGTCTCCTGACATATTTTGTGGCCCAGTATCTTTTACTTAAGATTAAAAATAAATGTTTAGTAGTAGCTTTCTACACTCACATTTCCCAAACAGTGACATTTATTTTTCTTATCTTGTTTTTATTGTGTGGCAAGATCTTTTGTCCTCTTGCCATCAGTCTTGCTGTATGATTGAAGATGATGGACCTTAATGCAATAACAAATACCTAGGTCACTTCGAAAGTAACACTTTCTATTTGTTTCGATTGAATAGAATAGGCAGTTAGACTTTAAAATATAGGTAATATTGAAGTAATGGCAAGATTATTTGCAAGGAATTGAATTTGGGTCACTTCAATCACTGTTTATTAAACTTTCTTTAAATGATGTCATGTGTTTCTTTTAAGTGAAAAATTAATGAATGTCCTAACATGGATTCAATTGAATTAAATTTAGGAAGAACAACCTACCTCAATCTTCAAAGATTGAAACTTTATCAAAAGCTAGATCCAAGCTTTTTTGTCTTCTGCAAGCAAGTTAATTTCTCAAATGAATCCAGAATTTTATCATTTTCAAACAAAGTTGACAAATTAAATTTAGTTAATTTAAAAAATAAGGAATGAGAAATACTGCTTTTCGTCGTATATTAGAGTACCTTCTCATGGATGGTGCCTTTTTCTAAATAACAGAATCTATACGCTTGCATATGCTGTCAATCCTTGCCTGCTAACAGCTTGCTTGATTTGTTTACAAACTGTTGTTTGAAAACACACTTAGGACCCTCAGGATATTTTGGATAAAAACAGTGTGTTCTAAAAGCTCTCATGTTTCAGTAAGAAATATAAAAATATAGCACCAGTGCTTCCGAAATATTTCTTTGTGTATTCATAGAAATGACAAATTTTAAACAAAAAGCTGAGTTGCTCATTCTCTATTTGTGATTAATATGCAGTACTCAAAATATCAGAAATTACAATTAGTTTTATAATTAGTTTATTTAGAAGATGAGAAACTGAAGGATAAAGACAAGTGCTCGTGTGTGATTTTTCTTTTCATAACTGAAACAATGGAAAAATAACTGGACTCCCCAGTACAAAAAAGACAGGGATCTGTTGGAAAGAGTCCAGCGGAGGGCCACAAAGATGGTGAAGGGCCTGGAGCATCTCTCCTATGAAGAAAGGCTGAGTGAACTGGGTCTGTTTAGCCTTGACTTTTCAAGACTGAGAGGAGATCTGATCCAGGTCTATAAATATCTAAGGTGTGGGGGGCAGAATGGCGAGGCCGGACTCTTTTCAGTGGTGAATGGAGACAGGACAAGGGGAAACAGCTGGAAACTGCAGCATAGAAAATTCCACACAAACATGCGCAAGAACTTCTTTACCGTGAGGTGACGGAGCACTGGAACAGGCTGCCCAGGGAGGTGGTGGAGTCTCCTTCTCTGGAGATGTTCAAGACCTGCCTGGATGCCTACCTGTGCGACCTGCTGTAGGGAACCTGCTTTGGCAGGGGGGTTGGACTCCATGATCTCTGGAGGTCCCTTCCAACCCCTTCAATTCTGTGATTCTGTGAACTGATGCAAATTTTTAAGTTAGATTTTTTTAAAATTGTTCTGAGCTCTATAGAGTGTGGCAGTTTCATTTCATGTTTCTAAATTTGTATTATGCTTGCTTTCTAGGTGATGAAAATTGTGTGTCAGAGTATGATGTTACTTATGGTTCTTGCAAAGTTTTTAATGAACAAAAAAATAAGCACAAGGGGATGGTAAGAAAAAACAGAAGACTCCAAAAGGTCAGTTTAACATATTGTTAAGTTCTTTTTGAAGAATCACTGAGTGCCTTTTTACCTACAAACAGAATATGCATGATGTATGTATGTTTAAAAGAGAAAATAAAAACATTTCCAAACCTTTCTTTGAAATATTATGTGAAGGGTGCTCAAAAACAATTTATATAGCCACTTAACTCAGCTTTCTGAAAGCATGTAGTGGCAGTCATGTCACTGCATTTTTTTTTTCATATATGTATAGTAGATCATTCACTATGGCTGTCTCTGAAGAACATTCCATATTTCTTCTTATATTCTTATAAGCTCTTATATTCCTATAAGCTCTTATATTCTTATCGCTCAGTCTGGATAGGAATAAACAAAGTGAGATGACTGGGTCAGCACTGGATCTTAAGTTTAATTTGTCTTCTGAAAGTTATGTTAGAATTAAATGCAAAACTGATAAGCAGGAAAATAAATAGAGTTTTTTTCATCAGTACTATAGTAGCAAGGCGTACAATTAAAATGAACGCTGAATTGTTTAAAAAATGGGTAGTCCTAAGGCACTGAAGGATGTAATGACATGAAACAAATTAGACAGATGTTTCATTGTTCTGTAGGTGGAGTTTTGAAGAGTTTGATCAATTTTTTTTAAATCCTTTTACTCTGAAGTTGTGAGCAGATGCCATTACCAGGCTGTGCAACCTTTTAAGCATCTTGAAGATAGAATATTATTTTTCATGGCCCAGTCATCTGCTCCTGTTCAAAATTACAATTTGACTTCCTGCCTGTGTCTTACTGCTTGTTATTTTTTAAACTGAGCTGTGGGTATGTCCCTGTTCATTGCAGGGGAGTTCTACTAGATGGCCTTTAATGGTCCCTTCCAACTCAAACAATTGATTCTGTGATTCTGTTAAAGTGTTCACCTTCTTCTTCTAAATATATACAGTCATATCAGTTGTAAAACTAATAAGAATTATATAGAACATATAAATCAACTTCACTCTTCATCTGTGTCCTACAATAAACATTTCAAGAATGTTTCCTCATTGAGCTGGAACACCTGTCCAGAAAAGTTTCATTTCCTGTAACAGAAATCTTATGAAAGCTGCTAAATATGTATCCGTAAACAGTCAGTGGCCGTAAGGCTGTCTGTGAGAACGACGCTTGGAGATTTGTTACATTTATTGGCACTCATTCCCTATTCTGAGTGTTTACACTACGAGAGCATCACATTGTAGTGCTAGTTTTTTGTTTTCTTAATGAAGGATCCCAACATAACTATCACACAATGAAAAAGAAGAAAAAGCAATAAGAAGTTAATTTTTAGTTGCTACCCTTTTTCAAAGAAGAGTTAAAACTTTGGCTTTACAGAAAGTGGGGTGTTTTAATGTTTATCCTTGCTTTGCTTGTTGCAAAGCCTGCTTTGTGAGGTAGTTTGCTGGTAACAAACACTAAGCAGTAACTGAAGAAAACTCATTTCAGTGTTTTCAGATAGCTTCTTTCATATCCATCCATTTCACTGGGTGATTTGATTTGAATGTCTGTGACACAGTAACAAATGCTTTATTTCTTTTTATAAGTGTGCTATTATAATTTTAAAGGTTTCCAGTTGCAGTTTGTGCAAATTAATATTGAGACAGTGTTCCTTTTCTCCTGGTTGAAACATGAGAAGAACTTTACAAAGTGTGTTACATTTAATACACCATTTGACTGCACTGAAAAACAGCACTTGCTATTTTCTCTCCTTCCAGCAATTGTCTGTTAATCTGTATTACACAGTTATTAATGTTCAAGATCTCTTACTCATAATTTAAATGCATACGTACGTACAAAATATATAAAGCCAGTATAGGAAATCCCTAGGAAATTCTTATTGAAGAAATTTTAACAGGATAATGTCTTGGAGTGAACTATGCTAGGTATCTACATTTTTATAAATAACTAAATTGCAAAGCTTCTCTGGTACCAGTCAAACTTCTTTCAGGAAGCTTCCTAAAAACAAACCAAACATGATGTGAATTTTTAATAAATATAAACACATTTTTGCAATGGCTGCAGCTTAAACATTATAACACTTTGCCTAGTGTTTGGTGAAGTGACAGTGAAGTTAAATTAGAAAATATTTCCTTTCTGAAGCAAAAATTATAAAATTCTTCTGTTTTGTCTTTTGACAGAAGTCAAAATCAAGAATATCTTTGTTTAGCTGCTTCTTTGTCACGATTTAGATTGCATTCAAATTTCCTTTTCTATCTATACTATTTATATAGACTTGCTTATTTCGCTCTTTAACACTGAAGACTTCTAATCATAGCTACTGAAATTACAAAAATTGTAAACTAAGAAAAGCTCTAAAGACAAAGCAGTTTTAATGACAATCCCAGACATGTTAGGGGAACATAATAAATACTTTTAGGAATCTTTAATGGAACAAGTGTTTTGTTTAAAAAGAAGAAAAAAAAAAAAAAGATAACGAACAGTAACAAGAGTTTCTGTGTGTTGTTAACATTGAAGTCTCTAAAGGCGGATTTAAAAACACGTTTTAAAAAATGGTCTGTATGTAGTTCCTCTAAAACTTCCTAGTTTTTAGATCAGTCATTGAGCACAGTTCCAAGACTGACATGCTCAGTCGATCAAGATATGTACTCTGATTTAATGCCTGTGCAGGTGGCTTCCCTGATCCAGAAATGTCAGTGTATGATACTGGGTTGCGGGGATAGAAGCAGTCCTTTACTGTGGTACAGTTTTCGAAGTTTTCATGAAATGAAATGCATAATCGAGGGATAATTATTAAGTATCTTGACGGATAATTAAAATCGCATTTTGTCAGAGAAGGCAGTATGGACTTCATAGAATCTATCTGCAAAAAAAAAAAAAAGAGTTCTTCCATGATAGTCAGGAAATATTGATGGTATGGACCAAATATCTGTCGCTGTAATTTTAGGTGTAACTGTTTTGATCCCAGAATGTTTGATGTTCACAAACTGCCATATATGTCATATATGAAGTAATCCTGAAAGTGCCTGACTAACATTAGCTGATGGCAACTGAATAGTTGACTATTGTTTAAATCTAGTTGTCTGCTTGGTGCAGCATAGTACTGAAAATAGGAAATAAGATTTTGAGCAATCTGCATTGTGAGACAACACAAAAATAAGAGGATTTAATGTTATGAGTCACATTATCTTCATTGGAGTGCCTGAAATTGGCCACTGAATGGACCATTGAAATCCAACAGGAAAGTTTATTTTTACTGGCAAGACACAACTTATGATGTTGCTATAACCAAAATGTCGCTGTGTTCATTAGTTTGTTTCAAACATTCAGAATTTATAGTAATATTGACATTCAAAAGCAGAATATAAATGAGAAATGTTAGTTATTGTTTCATACAAATGGAATTTGCAGATACTCATTTGATAAGATTCAAGAGATACAACTTCCTCTCAACAAGTTCAGAGTGTTTCCTGCTTCCACAGGTACACTTACAGCTACTGTTCGCACTTAAAAGTTTGCTGTTTAGAAAACTGGAAATGTACCAAGACAGTGATATAGGTCATTGTTAACTTTGCAATTTGGTAACTGGGTAATTGTTCCGCAGTCTTCCATACAAAAAAAAAAAAAAAAAAAGTGGATATGAGTAAGAAAGAGAGCAGAAAATCCTAGAATCACAATTTCTGTGATGTACAATCACAATTTCTGTGATGTACATCTATGCCATCTCCATACTTTTCCTTAGAAGTCTATGGCATTCTTCAATCTGATGGTGGAAGATGGATTGAAGATGGATGGCTTAGGATGGCTTGACTATCTGAAACAAGTGGGTTACAGTCTTGTCAGCAGAGTATTTACTGAATTTTGCATTCTTAGATCACAACACAAAGCTAAAATTAATCCAGCCTTGATTTTTTGGGGACTTCAGACTGCTGTTCAGGAGTATATTCACCAAAAATCCCAGTCTCCTCGCTGTTTGCTTGGCAATCTTCAGAACATAAATCAACCTCACCATGTCAATGATTGCAATGAGTGCAAACTCATTATCTAACAGTTGGATTAAGCAAGATGATGGTTTAATTCTTAAAATATTTCCATCTCTAGAGTCACTACAATGGAACTGTCTCTCTTTGTGCCTAGGTTACTTCTCTCCAGTGTGTGCATGTAGTAAATTGTACATCAAACCACTGGGTTTTTTTCAGTGAAGTAGCCTGTGCAGATACCTCTTCTTTTGATCCATCCATGATGTGTGTCCATTGACCAAAATGGAATAGATGAATGATGATGATTAAATCAGGCCGTTATTTTCTCTGAAGCTACTCTATTGTTGCAGATTGTCTTTGTAACTTGGTTTTTAATCTTGCAGTGAGGTCCCAAAGTATCCCAGCTCAAGATTTTTGTAGTTCTTTTAGTCTGACATATTCAGATATCTGAAGAAATTATTCACTTCATCAGATTTGGTAATGAAAGCTTAAATGGCTTTAATGTCTGAGCAGACAAAAAAGATTTACACCTGTACTGTACTCCTGTACTTAAATTTTTGTTGAAATTGTTCAGACGGGCACAAAGTATTTTTGTTAAATTTAAGGGCAAGGAGCTGCATGAAAGGTTCGTGCTAATTGACTTTGAGATTTCTGTTTGCGGACAAAGGTGTGGGAAGGAGAATCTTTGTTACTCTGCCTTTCCCCTTTGTCTGTCCCTGGAAAGCCTAAATCTCTGGCTTTACCAGATAACCCTATGAAACTGCAAAATGCTGTGAAATCCATCCTCTGTTGAAGAAATGAATACGACGTGGATTTTTTTGTTTTGTTTTGTTTAAAACATGTTAGCTATTACAGATGCATGTAGAAAACAGAAAATATCAGTTAGTTGTAAAGTGTGTCAGCATTAGGGTGAAATCAGTCTGAAGCTGTTGATCAACCTTAATCTTGCCAACAGTATTTCTAGGGTTCTTTGGCATTGAGGGAAATGTAATTCTCAGATATATAATTTCATTTTAATTTTTTCTTGTTATAGTTTACATTGTGTGTGTTATTTTTTGTGTGGTGTTTGTTTTTTGTTTTTTGTTTTTTTTAACCTTCCTCATAGTAGTTCTGATTTGGTTAATGCTGGTACATTTTTCACATCCCATTAGCACCAAAGCAGAGGTCTTGCGTTTTAGTCAGGAAATTACAACTGTAACTCAATTTGCAGACAGAGAAAACTGGAAAAATGTCGTTATCAAGAACTGATGATAAGTGGAGTAAGGCAAACCAGAAAGTAAATTATAACTTCGAATATTCAATGTTTAAAACTGCCGAATAGAAATAATTCACTATAATTACCAATTATTCTCAGCTGTGAGCCACTATTATATGAATAGAATAAATTAACATAATTTATAGATTGTTTCTAAAAACAGCTTTAAAGTTTTGTATCCTCTCCTTCAAACTTTCCTAGTAAAACAAAAAAAGAATAAGTGAAATTAACCCAATCCTTGATAATTCACATGCTGCATCTGGCTCTTTTTTGGCTCCTGTACTTGTCAGAGGGAAGAATGTGACTCCTAGAATACAGCTGTTAAGATCAACAGAATGCATAGGAGTTCTGAATCTATTTTAGAACCATCTGATGGAGCTACAATAGCCAAAAAGTAAAAGGCTAGGAAGACTACAAAATGCTTGTCATAATGCTCTTGTACTCTCCCTTGCATTATATTTGCATATGAATGCACTTCTTCCCTTTTCCCTCACATTCCAAAAGAAGTCCTTTGTCCCTAGCATACTGGCCAAACTACGCATCTTGTTGAGTTCTGAAGTTGAAAGTCTTTTTTTTTCACCCATCATGGTATACATTTGATCTTATTAGAGTATTTAATATAAGTATTAAATAGTATTAAAGCCCATTTCTTTCAGAACTTGTCAAAGGTGTAAGAGAGCATTCAGTCTAAGGAATACACGATTCAGAAGTTGTATTTATTCCTTGATGTCCATCCTTGGAAGAAACCAGAGGTCTATGTTCTTGACCCAAACGACTCATGACAGTTTTTGAAAAGCAGGTTGTACAAAACAAGGCTTTTCTCTCATTTTCCTTCAGCTCCAAGAAGCACCTGCTTGAAGTTAGAAAAACAAAGGAATACATTTTGAGGTTGGATGCTTCTTTTGTGATGTGGGGCAGTTCAGATACAGGATGTATCACGCTGTGTTTCAAGAATTGAAAAAAATAACAAGCACTGCTTTCTTTGAGGTATTGAAATGCATGTTATGTATTTCACAGGATGTGGAGAAATCTTGTTGACAGATTCTAAAAAGAAATATTTAATGCAACTGTAGTCTTAAGAAACATATAAAGGAAAGCGGAGGCATGTAAATGTTCTATAGGAGTCTTAATACAGCCTTCATTACAGATCTAAAACACAATCCAGAAATAAATGTGCTCTCATTTAGAAAACAGATGTGCAACTCCTCTTGATTGAGAGAAAAAATGATAAATTTTAAAAGGTCTTATTCATTTAATACCATTTTTTCAGAGTTGTATTAATAATAATCCTGCTTCAAATGTGCATTAGAATACATAGCAATGCTCACCAGATGTCTTTTTGCTAATCAGAGAAGAAAATGCTAACTCAAAACATATTTTGCAATAAAAGAAAAATGTAAAATAAAAACAGGCGCAAGTAGCATTGAAGAAAAATTGCATAGCAAGAGAGGGAAGAAAGCAATTAACTTGAAAAATGTACTACTGAACATTAAAACAATTTTGCTAAGTTTTCTGTTTGGTAACTGCATACAAGTGTATTAAAGAGAACCGCTTGTATAATTGAAGCAATAAAACAAAATGTAGAAAATGACCCCCCCTTACTTGCAAAAATATGCAGTTTTGAATGAAGATGAAAAAGTAGTTTGGAAGAAATTAAACTTATCCCAATTTCTACCTCCTGTATGCATGTTTCTGCATTCTTGAATCTTTGAATGGCGCTGATGACACTGACAAAACATCACAGCCTGTCAGGCTGCAGGTTTTACAAGTTGTGTGGGTACAGTATTTTCACTTCCCTGAAGATAGGTACTAAGGAACTTCTAATGAACATTTGTTCTCTGAAGCTGAAGAAACAGCTGTAGGATCTCAAATTGCTCTGGCCTTGGTTTATGTAGTAAGTCTTTTAACACAGCTTTGGCAAAATCAGTAGTCTGATTAATAATGTTTTCACTGTGTTCATTTTTTAAACATGTGAGAAATTTTTCTGCACGTTCTGAACAGGCACATTAGGATCTTGCTGTAGAGCTAACACTACACAAGGACCCCAAGAAACTAGTGCAATTATTTTGTGTGGATTTAATTCCAGACATCAAGTCAAAGGAGAACATTATGGTCATGCTGAAGCATACGTGTTCAGTATTGATTGGGTTTCAACCCAGAAAGAGTGGAAAGAGAATATGTTGCTTCAAAGCCATGTTCTGTGCCTTTATAGGATCCCTTAGAATTATAGATTCCAGGATCCCTTGAAGTTGTGTAGATCTAACAAAATGTGTTTTGACACTATGAGGTACATCCTCACTACTGTATAGCATAGCTCCACTTATAGTGCTCCATCCCTGGAGGTGTTCAAGGCCAGACTGAATGGAGTCCTGGACAGCCTGGTGTAGTATTAAATGGGGAGGTTGGTGACCTTGCCTGTGGCACGGGGTTGGAGATTCATGATCCTTCAGATCCCTTCCAACCCTGGCCATTCTGTGATTCTGTGATTTCAAGCTTTTCAGGCTAGCAGTATGTTAATAATCAGCATTCCAAAAATACTGAGTAAATTTATCCCAAATAAGTATTTCAATTTAAAATTTTCATCCTTTCATCATTTGAAGTTTTATTCTGTTCTATAATTGGTTATTTTTGCCTTTTCATAATCAATGTATCAAATGAACATTTCAGTTTGGAAGTACTGTAGAGCTTACTGTTGAGCCTTTACATTTATTTCTTTACATTTACATAATACTGTCTGAGCAGTTTTTTTATCATGAGTTTGAAAAATATTGAATAGGCTGCATAATTTGTTTCTCAATAATTTATAGTTTCTCAATATTTTATGGGATTTATGTTATTTATCCACTTCACCTACAGGATGATATTAGCATCTATACATTGTATTTATCATCTTTTTAAGTCATCTTGACCATGTAATGTTTCTGAATAATGTTTTTTGGAACGAAGCAATAGTGCAGAAGTAGAAGAATAGCAGAAAGTTTTTCACCCAGAGAGTGGTTACTGGAATAGGTTGCCCAAGGAGGCTGTGGATGCCCCATCCTTGGAGGCATTCAAAGCCAGGCTCTGGTCTGCCTGGTCTGGTGGTTGGTGACCCTGCACATAGCAGGGGAGTTGAAATTGATCTTTATGGTCCTTTTCAACCCAGGCCATTCTATGATTCTATGATATTAGTCTTCAAATGTAATTCCAAAGAATCCATCTGTAAATAAGACAAATTGCTTGAACACTTGAGTGGACAACAACTCTGTACTGATAAGAGAGGATGGATGGTGTTGCATCATAATATCTTCCTCCTTCTGTTCTATGATTCATTGCTGAATCTTTCTCAAGTCATTTTTGAACTGTGCTATCAAATGTAATCTCAATACATTACAGGAAGCCAGATTTTAGTACATTGGAGTGAAGTTAGAAATGGAAATGAATATTTGTTATGGAGTGGTACCTAGACAAGAAACTTGAAATTCATGTCTTGATTTTTAAGATTAGGAAGAGTTGTTTTGAGATTATTGTAAAAGTCAATTGATCTACTTTTTCTACAAAACTAAAATTCTAACATATACATTCTTGTCCATATTTATGTAGTTACACGTAATCCTTAGGCTTTTCTTACAGGATTATGTCATGTTGATCATTTTATGTTTGTCTGATCGTTGTGCTCAGTTTATGTTTCTCTGATACTGGTAAATAATATTCTGTCCTACTTTTGTGCATGGTGGAGGCCTTATGTTTATTACTGATGATGGAAGGATACCTCTTCTTCTGTTTTCTATAGTACTAACTCATGAAACAATGATTTAAAATCTGTGTGAGACACTCTTTGCACATAAGCTAGGGGATTCTGCTGGGACTATGCTTTCTAAGGTGACTCAGTTTTGCTCTTGTATGCATTTTTGTAATCTTTGCTTGTACCTTGTTAATTATTACTCAGTCAACTTTTATTCATTAGGCATGATTTAAGAGTGAAATAATGTATATTCTTTAAAATAAGCAAACTCTTGTTTCTTCAGTATCTCAGACAGATTTTGTCTTTCTTTCGTAAGAAATGGAAATCATTTTAAATTAAAGGGTTTCTTTGTTGTAGTTAAGCTGCCTTTTCGTCTCAATCTGATCAAGAAAAGAAGAAAGCAGAAGACAGAAAATACTAATTTTTTTTTTTTTTTTTTTTTTTTTTGTGCTGTGCTTGCTGTGCTACTCTTGAAATCTGTCACTTTGTTTTAACTGATGAAAAACTCCATTTTTGCTTTCTCCTACTGGATGCTCTGATACCAGACATTATGAAGGGGTTTCTTTCCTTCCACATCCTTAATGTTTAATATTTCTAGTATATATGTCAGTTAGTACTGCCTCTTCCCAGAATGATACTGTAATTATCAAGTAGTTCAATCCTTTTAATAGTACAGTTAATCAATTAAGTTTTTTCAAAGTAGAAATGTTTTCAGGCTTTTGATGTTTTCTTGTTTGCTTCAATTTTTTAGCCAACAAGGACACTAGTCATGACGAGCATGTCTTCTGAGTAAGTATTAAAAAGTATTAAGTATTAAAAAGTATTTTTACTTTCTCATTAAGTTTAACTTAAGTTTTTATAATCTTTTCATCTCTATACAAAAAGGAATTTGTCTTTGGGCCGTACAATGAAGTACTTCATTCTGTCATGCTGGCTAGAAGTACCTGTGTATATCATTACTAACTACACTTTGTAAGAATGTGTGCGTATCTGTGCTGTTATGGTGCAGACTGGAATAATGTTTCCATTGGCCTGTAGGTGAACTCAGCAGGGCTTCAGAGCAATAAAACCAAAGTCAATCATATTTTGATTTTTTTTCTCAAAGAACTGTAAGAGTTTTTTGTAGTAAATAGTCTAAGGATGGAGTTCTGAACCTGGCTTTTTCCCCATATGTTATAACTGCTTCTATTAAAAAGACAAAAGAACAAGAAGTCTTAACGATCTGAAACACCAATTTAAAATATTGTCATTCATATCTTCTTTTTTGCTGCTGAAGAAATACCAGTTCTAGGCTTTTCAGCCATTTTGTTTCAAAACATTAGAAGCAACTGCAGCTGTGTGTTTGTGGAAGAGTTAATATTTTTCTGGCAGGCTCTTATCATTCCCTTAAAATTTTTACATCATAAAGACTTCCAAGAAAAACAAAATTATGTATTTTCTACTGTATTTTCCTACAGTTTTTTGAATTATTTTTCAAAACTTAAGGTCTTATTTCTACTACCCACAAATCTCTTTCAGTGCTGAAGTAATTAAGTCATGACGGTTACATAGTAAGCAATCTGAAACAGTACTTAGTGGCAGTCCTCTTAGAAATACTTTGTAAATGGTAGCAATTAACCAGTATACTACTATAAATGTCAGAAATGTAAAACAGTAATAGTATTTTTCTTGTTTTTAATATGAGTTGTTTCTATTAATGCCAAGACTACAAATGCATTTTGCTAATCATGTCATAGACGATCGTTGTGAGGGAGGGAAAGATAATAGCTACAGTCCTGATAAGGATAGTGGAAAACAGGCTGTGATGTACCTTAAAGGAGACCGCAGATCTTGACAGCTAGGGAAAAAATGTTCTTCTGTTGAAAGAGGTCGTTAATAAGTTACTTCTTTTATGTTGATATATGCTGACTTTTCCTAGAAAGTTAACTATTTCATAAAATAAAAATGTCTGTTGATTAAAAATTTGCTTTCCTTCAGAACTTTTTCATCAATATTTTGCTTCTGACTGTCCGCAGTTAAAGGGATTGATCATGCTATAGGGAAGGTGAAGGTAAAGGAACTGCTTCTGAAAGAACTAAAAAGCGTAAAATAGTCCTCAATAGGACTTGAACTGGCTCAAATCCAGTTCTAATATCCAGTAGCTACAATTACAGAAGTAGTTCATTAGAAATTTTAAGATGCATGAGTTCAGTGGTTTCATGGTATCGGGTTTTGAGAATATTTTCAGTGCTGCTCACTGATAAGCAGCCAGTAGCTGCCTATTTTTCTGAGTCACAAATTTAGTGAAATTTTGCTGTAATTTTTTCAGCTGACTGAAATGCAAACTGCTGAGTTTTCAGTGCAGTTGATTAAGACACCATAGATTTGAATGATGTAGAAGAGGATTCTCTCCTCTCACCTAAGAAATTTCATATGGACAAGAAAGAACTGTAGCTTCAGATATTGTATGGAGTTGCCTCTGCTGAGCATTTAGCTTAGGCAGAGTTAGCCTCTGTGGGTAGCAGTATTGCAAAAACTTCACTTGTAGGCACTGTCTAGTTAAAAGTCTTGTAATAGTGAATATTAAACATATAGTCAAGACCAAAATTCACACTTATCAGTGGCAGAAGTTAGGCAGTTAAGTCAGTGGTTCAGTTTTTAACTGTGTCCACATATGCTATCACCATTTGACTTCTGTGAAGTTAATTTTTGACACTCTTTGTTTTTACTGTTCCTTTACTTACTTAAATTATTCATTTATTTATTTATTTTGAAGAGATTGCTACACTGAAGATGTTTTATTAGAAAAATAAAACCACTGAAGAGGTTTTATTAGAGTTCCCCTAAGTAGCTAGGATAATTGGGGATCTATAACTGAGCTCCTTTTGATAGAGTAAAATGTAGTGAGAATCAAGTAACCGCAGAGGCTTCAGAAAATGTTCTGACTGTTCTCATTATACCTGTTTTTAACCTCAGTGTTTTACTTGTGACTTCGTTCAAGGTTGAGCTAAATTGTTTTATTTTATGTAGTAAGTTATAGACAATTTCAGTAAGTCAAAGGGGGGAAAAGAGAGGGCACTGGCATTGGGCTTTCCGGTATTATTTATAACAACAATCTTTAGTTAAATTGTTCTGATTAAATTGTTCCTATGCAATGGCTTTTTTCTGGGGATACCAAGAGCTCATCGTTTTCATGATGGGGTATTATGTGCCTCAGTGTAACCTACATGTTAGAGAACTCAACCTAGCATTCCAGTTATAGGTGGCCATTCTCTATTTTATATGGCAGTCCATGTGGAGGTAAATTTATTTAAAGATAAGTGATTTTTACAATTGAAACACTGACTCAGACATAAAGACATTAAGCCAGAACTTTAAGACTTCTCTCTAAAGTTAACATACAATTTTATTTGAATAATGAAAATATGGTACTTCCAAATGACATCCTTTGAAGAGTGCTGCATCCAACTGTTTACATTTGTTAGGAATACTTCTTTTTTTTTTTTTTTCTTTAAAGTACAACAGAAACAATCAAGAATGAGCCTCTGTTGTACTAGGCATTATACACAAACAGTATGTTAGATAATTCCTGACTAAAAAAGCTTCTATTTAAACAAGCAAGATAGATATGGGGTATAAAAGAGCTTTGATATGCAAGTAGATATGATTATGTGCTGACAGAAAAGGGTCTGTTTGGACTCTGTGGAAGGGCTAACAAATTTTTGTCTAGCAAATGGGTCAAGTCTGAGCGAGGGAAGGATAAGAAGGGATTAGTGAGAAAAGACAAGGTACAAATGTAAGAAAATCTGAGATAATTTGTATGTGAATGTTTGCTTCCACAATCCTACCTATCAACTCAACATTGTATCTTTTTGTCTTTGTGCTCTTTTTAGGAAACAAAGTGTAGTAATTCAAGTGGTGAATAAACTGGGAGACTTCATGTTCTCAGACGATGTATGTGAAACAACAAGTCATGTAGTTACAGGGAGTCCTCGTCGTACCTTGAATGTTATGCTGGGAATTGCTCGTGGGTGTTGGATTGTTTCTTATGAATGGGTAAGAAATACATTCAAATTTTACTGCAAAATAAATTATGCTTATTTTGTATGGCTGGAATGTCAACCATATTTTTGTCCATGCTGTGCGCAATGTTGCAATGTTCAGATACTCAGATTTGGAGTTAGCTGAATTTGGGAAAATTTGTTTTTTTTTTAAAGCTCTGTGTTACTATGAATGTTGTCTTTCAGTATTTAATCTGACCAAAATATTCCTGTATTGTACCTCAATGTTTATTTTAGAAATGCTTGAAATCTCTCCATCCAATGGTACATGCATTATTTTTGGACTGATTAAAGGCTAAACAAAGCATTTTGACTCAGTGTTAGCCAAGTCACATTATTCAGTTGGAACTTTTTATATGCTGATTTAATATGTTTCTGTTTTGTTCTTAAATGTGTATTGTGTTCAACATTGGTAAACATGAAGAGGAATTTTTAGGTATTTTCCTGCATGATGAAAACCATTTAATAATAAGGAAAGCTTGTATATGAGTAATTTGGAGGCTGTATAGTTTACAAAAATGATTCCCAGATATCCACATCAAAGAATCACCGCATAACCTCAAATTTTTTTCTGGGCTGCCATGTCTTTACATGTTACTGGTAACTGTTTCTGTAAATAGAAGATAACTGTGAATTGTCGTGCTGCTTTGGCTGAGATACAGTTACATACACTTTTTTCATAGCAGCCCATATGTTTCCATGTTTTAGGCTGATGATCAAAATAGTGTTGATTACACATCACTGTTTTAGCTGTTCCTTAACAATACTTGCACAGCATCAAGACCTTCTCTTTTTCTGTCATTACCACCAACAAGTAGACTGGGAGAGGACACAGCCAGGATAGCTGATCCAACCTGACCAAAGGGATAGTCTTATATTATAGTCATATAATGTCATACTCAGCTATAAAATAAAGAGGAAGCTTTCCTAAAGCATCCATTGCTTGAAGACTGACTGGGTATCAATTATCTGGTGGGAATGATTACATCGTATTTGCATATTTTTTATTTATTTTTTAAATTTTATTTTATTTTATTTTTAATTATTTGCATATTTGCATATGGGGGTTGTACTTGGGGTTTTTTTGTCTTTTTTTTTCTTTTCTTTTCTTTTTCTTGCTTTTGCCCTTCTAACTCTCTCTCCCATCCTGTTTTTGGGTTGGAGAGAGTTGAACAGCATCTAGATGGGAGCTTTGATCCAGGATCAAACCACCTCAGAGATCAACTGCAAGATAATTAATTTGACATCACAGATGACAGACTTTCACTTTTCCTCATATTTTCAGAGCTTCAAAATACAACTGTTGGAAATAGATATTCATCTACAGTAAGGGATTGTAGAATAAGTAATTTAAATTCTTTGTTCCTTTTTTTTCAATAAATACTTTAAAATCATAATATGTATGTAGTTATTTAAAGAAGCTGTTGTGATATCCTCTGTAGTTTTCAGAAGTTCTTGGTGATTGACTTCCCTTAGAATAAAGGATATTGCATGTTTGATCATTCTAGTTAGCTAGTAATGTGCCTTTGTGTCTGAAAAAGACCAGTAGCATCTTTGTCTGCTTCATCGTATCTGTGCAAAGGGGTTCAGTTAGACAATCTGGTTAAATAAATGTCGTATGACATATGAGCACTTTTATTTCTAATTATGTTGCCTTCCAGGGAGCTTACTACTTGAAGGGAGCTTACAAGCAGAAGGAGGACTGACTTTTTACATGGTTTGATGGGTACAGGACAAGGGAGACTAGCTTAATGGTTTTAAACTAGAAGGAAGTAGGTATAGGTTAGATGTTAGAAGGAAATTTTTTACTCACAGGTTGCTCGGAAGGGTTGTGGCTGCCCCATTTCTGGAGGTTGGATAGGATCCTGGTAGCAGCCTTTCAGTATCTAAAGGGGAGCTACAGGAAAGAAGGGGACAAACTCTTTAGCAGGGCCTGTGGTGACAGAACAAGGGGAAATGGCTTCAAGGTAAGGGAGGGTAGGTTCGGGTTGGATATAATGAAAAAAATCTTTTACAGTGAGGGTGCTGAGGTACTGGAACCGATTGCCTAGAGTTGTGGTTGGTGCTCCATCCCTAGAGACATTCAAGGCAAGGCTGGATAACGCCCTGTGCAACCTGACCTAGTTGTGGTGTCCCTGTTCATTTGCAGAGGAGTTGACCCTCAGAGGTCCCTTCCAACTCTAAGAAATCTATGATTCTATAATTCTAAGTCAGAAGCAAACTTTCAGTGACTTAAAATGGAGAATTATTGCTTTTGTGTTCCTGAAAACTGAATGTTACTGTTAGTGCTGACCTAATTATTTACTGCAGAGTCTGTTCATGAATCTGTATCTGTATCTGATTTACTTTTTTATCTAGGAAGGTAGATATGGTGCCTTTGTACTCAATTCCAGAGCCACGATAGATGAGCATTAATCCCTCTTCTGTTGAGATAAACAAAATTGATCTCTAAACGAAATTCTGTAAATACTACAAGGATTGATGGAGGTTATTACTGCAAAATTGGCCTGGAAAATAAAATGGGATTACTTAATCATAATTAATCTTTTGGGGTTGTTTACTCTATTTTTGTTTTCTGTCAGTTACTCACAGTATAAACATCATTTCAGTACTATGCAGACATGATGTACACATCATAGAGCTTGGTACATCTGTTGCAACTTGAGATTACTTACGAAGAAATTGTTTTCATGCAGCACGCCTCAAAGAATTGTGTTAAAATTTCCAGTTCTCTTGGTTCAGTTCAAGTTGATCATGAAATGAAAATGGCTTAGATTAACCAGTCTATTTGCAATAAGTATATACAACTCTAAGTATAAAGCTAACAGATTTCAATATTCTCATTGTAAATTATGAGTATTAGTTGTGAAAAAGTATACATAAGTGCAACTTAAATTTTGTATCTTATAATGTTACAGTCTTAACTGAATGTTTTTAAATAAATGTACTTTTCTTGGCTAAATAGAATAATGCATTATTATATTTCAAATTACTTTATAAATCCTTGACTTGCTGATCTACTCCACTCATTTTTAGGTTTGGGATGCTATAATGGCGATAGAAATTATTTTCACCTTTTGCAGCTGTTGCATTTTCAAATATTTGGTTGTGAGTTTTCTGAAAGTAAACATAATATCATTTTGATTTTTGTAATAGTGAAGTTTAACAGTGAGAATAAATGAAGATGCACACTTTATTCCATGGTTGTCTGCAAAATTGAACACCTCTACTCCCCACACAAATAAAACACTTTTCCATATCACACAAAGACTAGCTTTTGTAGCAGTTTTTTTAAGAGGTTGCGGGTTCCCCTGTGTAGTGGAAATGCTAAGTCATGTCCTGAACCAGTGTTGATTCCCACCTGGTGGGAAGGCAGGGCCAACCCAGGGGAGTTCAGGTGTATATAACACACCTGACTGAACGGAAGGGGTGAAACTAGGATCCACACCTTCCCAGACCTCACTTTAGAGTTGGCTTTGGGGGTATAGGTATCTTCCTGGGGATCCTTGCAAACTTGAGGCCTTCTGAAAGTAAGCAGATTCTTTCCTTTGTTCTTTCCTACGTTCATACAGCTCAGCTGTTGCATTTGAGCAAGTCCTCTCTTGCTGCAGTGTAGGACCTTGCTGTTCTTCTGTCATTGCTGCTTTTCCATCATGAGATGTCCTGAAAGTTGTCAAGCATAAACTACTTTAGACTGCAAACTACACAATTTGTTTCTGAAAGCATTAAGATCACTTTCTAAATTCAGTTTGCAACTTGCCTCTAGTAGTACCACAATTTGGGTAAAATAGCTCTTTACAAGAAAGTCACAAGCCTAATTATATGTTGGGAAACAAAATTTGCATTACTACCTAACAATCAGTCTGCTTAGCTTAAAGTCTCATTTTGTGAGCTGTAATACTGTAAAGAATAACATGTATCAGGCCAACTTTTGTCCAAGTGGAACATCTCATAGCACATATTTTTTTGAAATAAAATGTTATATTTTCATTGGAAACGAATAATATGTGGATTTGCATGGCATTTTATTCCAAAAGAATTTTTAAAAAAAGGAGGGGGGTGGGGGGCAGGGGAAGTTACAGTTATTTGTGAATCAAGCATAGGAGAAATTCCACCTATTGATGAAATTAGATTTGTTCTAAGATGAATAATGGCAATTTGATGATGCGTGGCTGCGCTAACAGTAAGAAATATACTTAATCTGTTTGAAATGACTGGAGAATTATTATGCAAATGGGAAATGATCCCAAGCACATGGATTTACTTTCTCATGAAAATCCATGTACCCTATTTTTTCGGTATTTAAATATTTCTTGTTAACATAATGCTACTTGTTGCTGTAGGAGCAGTAGGTATTAAGTAGTTACATTTTTAAAGTTGAATGTATAGATTGTCATTGGTGGATCGTAATTTTTTTTTACTTGTAATTAAGGCTTGCCAAATGGTAACTACAGAAATGGTATTGGGAAATAAGAGTATCTGTAAAAGGGTAAGGTTGTTGAATCGTATGATAGGGAACAATTTCACAAAGAATTTATAGGTCTTTTACACATATGGGAAGCTCTGTGGCATCAGTTCTTGCTGAAAAAGCCACTGAGGAAAATAAAATTTTCCACCAGCGTGCCCTGTAGAATTTAGGTTATCCAGAAATCAGTAGGAAAACACCATTGATATGACATCAAAGCAAAACCATGGTAGGAACCTCTATCTTTTCCTGTAAGGATAGTCCTCTTAACAATGGAAGGGTAGTCACTGAACACTCCTTGCAAGATTTTTGAAATTATAATCTGCAACCCAAAATTATATATATATTTTTTTAAACCACTGAAAAAAATCAACATAAAAAAAAGCTTTTAAAAAAAAAAAAAAAAAAGTTTATTTCAGTGATTGAAAACAACCATTTTAAGCAGCTGGTAAAAGATACCTAGAATGAGATCACAGTTCAACTACTATATTCACTTGCTCATCATCTCAGTAGAGAAACTTTCTACACAAGCAAGAAGGAGTCCCAAGGTAGATAAAAAAATGTCCCTGCATAGATTAAGTATTCATTAAGTATTAAATATTTTTTAAGTTATCCATCTTGTGATGGCCCTGATTAAGAACAGAAGTCTGAAACTTGTCCAAAGGGTTAGGATCACAAATCTTTAAGGGTCACATTCACATTCACCCAGCATTTCAGAGCTCAGTCAAATGCAAACGATTGTGTATTTTCCAGACAGTCAGTACTCTGTGATGGTAGGAACCTTTTTATTTGCAGTCTATAATGTACAGCTGGCAAAGGAAGTTAGCAAAGAGAAAGTCAGCTTTTCTTCTTTTCAGGCTGAAAAGAATGTTGCGTAATCCTGGTCAGTAGTAGGAGTTGATATTGGACATCTTCAGTTATGATCTAGATGACGGATGGAGGGAAGCCTCAGCAAACTTGCAGATAATACAAAGCAGGGAAGAGTGTTTGATATACTCTAAGAGTGTGCCCATTCAGAACAACCATGACAGGCTGGAGAAATGAAGCAACATGGAGGCTCCATGATGTTCAATAATCAATTGAATCAAGAGAACATAACTCATATCGTATGGGAAATGTTGACATTCTTCTCTTTTGACTTCCTGTTTCAAATCTTTATTCTAATGTGATATATAATAATGCAAAAAGTTGACTCTTCTAATAAATATCCTCGCAAGGTATTGAAGTGTAATGTGGCTATACATAGAAATATGACAGGTATTTTCATCATTTGATTTATTCATACTTTGAGATTGCTTGATTTTACAGAGAATCATTTTATTTTAATAAAAAAAAATCAAGCTATCTATTGTAACTGCATTATTAGTTTTAATTTCTTTAATAAACTCAAATGGTTTGCTTTTTTAGAAATCATTGATTTTCTACTTATTATTTGATTTATTTTAGGTTCTGTGTTCTTTGGAATTTGGGCACTGGATCTCAGAGGAACCATATGAACTTTCTTCCAACTTCCCAGCTGCTCCTGTAAGTTTAATTGCCCTTTAAGCTTGTTAACATTCTTTTGTTTCTCTGAGAAATGATTTGCCCTGTACACAGGTTTTGTGAGTGAGAATGGCATATAGGAAAAAAAAACAAACTGTTAAAGAAAATGCCGTAAGGAGTTATTTTCTACATCGTCTTGTACTTTTTGAAGTGTGTACAACCACTAACTTCTAGAGAATTCTGCAAAACCTTTGGTATGCATAGAAAATACAAAAGATTGATTCACCAATTAAAAATTGAATCAATTTGCTTCTTTCTTAAGTACAAATACACTTTAATTTGTGGCTTATTTGATTACTATCTTCACTTGAATGAGATACTGGAGAGAGATGTTATTGCCTTATGAGATGTCTCAGGTCATGGTGTCAATGTTTTCAGTCCGGAAATGACTTTGAGGATGTAAAATTACTGTAGGCTTCTAAAACTTTTTTTTCCTGTCTTTAATTCTCACAATACTGTGTTACAAACTAATGCAAAAGTGTTTTTGTTGAAGTGTGGTGTATCTGTGCAGATCTAAGTGTATCTGCACATGTTGTAGTGGATTAGACACTAATTTAATTTTGGATATAAAATATTCTAGCAGGTTAGTAGTTGATTGCTGTAAGTTTGTCAAAAAGTTTTCACATTTTCTATTACACTGTTGCAGCTAGAGAAATATTTTCTCATCTGCTGCTTGTTTCTCAAAGTTTCTAACAGGCTTTGAAGAAAGAGCATTTAATTGAGGTTGAATTTTATTACTACCATAGTTGTATTGACTGCTAAGGAGTTATTTTAAATGTTCTTTCTAAATCTGTATATTTTTGTAAACTTATGTGTTCAAGGTGAAGTCTTTATTTCATGATTTTAAGCTCTAAGTTCTCAAAGTGTAGGGAATCTGTAATAGTTTTCCTGAAATAAGCCCAAAGAAATTAATCATCAATTACAATGTTGTATATTTTCCTGAAGAATTCAGTTTTTATATAGCAAATACATGAATGGCAGTGTTTAATGTGAAGAATATATTAGCATGTTCTTTTCCTTTTTTTCTGCATTTGTACAAAAAAAAACCCAACACTATTTCAGGCCAAGCTGCTTTGAGTTTTCTGTTTCTTCTCAGACCACCTTGTCTCCTAAGTATGTTATCAGTAACAACTTGCACGGCATTCTTTGGAAGTGATTCCAGCTGGTGTCAGTTTCTAGATTCTGTTTACAGTTTTTATTCCCAATGCAGAACTTCAGAAGGGTGGAGAGATGGTGAGGAGATAAAATTGAAGGAGGTATGCATTGCTTTTTTGCAGGGTGCTTCTGTTGAGCAACAAAGTTGGTGTTGAAAGTCATACTTCCATCACCTTCCCAATCATTCCTTTCTTGAGTCATTCTGGAGTCCAACTGTAATAGATACCTTATATTTAAAGATAAGATCATAATATGAGCTTGGATGGAGTTTACACGTCCTTTTTTATTATTTCTTCTTAAGAAGCAATATGGAAAATGAAAGGCTATTCTACTTTTATGTACTGTTTATTTGATTACAAGCAGGAAGTAAAGAAGGGGTTATATTACTGATGTATTCTGATTGTTTGCACCAAATCCAAAGAAATTGTTGCAGTCATCTTCCTGTAGTATTCTTTCTAAAATATCCTTTTCTTTCTTTATTTTGATATTTCTAAGCAATGCAATCTCATTTAGATAATGTGATGATATCACTGTAAAACTTACTTACTCTAAAATTTTACATTCATGTTAATGAATAACTGCTCTAGTCTAATGGTTGGCAACTTTGCCCATGGCAGGCGGGTTAAAACTAGATGACCTTGAGGTTCTTTTCAATCCTGGCCATTCTATAATTATATTTTAAAAATTAATTAAATGTCTTGTTAAACAGTTGATCAGCTAAAGATCTATCTCAGCATCTTTGATGAACTGTCATCAGAAGGAACCTTTTGCTTCATGTTTTTCCCCAGCAAATTGAAACTAACTATGCAGTGTATAGTTTTGTACCTTTGTTTTCTTACTAAAACAATGACGTTTAATAATCAGAAGTTGGCATCTTTTTTCTTGGCCAGGTTAAGCATGCGTACTGTGCCAGACTCCACTACATTTTGTTAGAAGATTTTTTTGGGCTGAGTGTGTATGTTTACTGTCACAAATATTGGGAGTATTTTCTTTAGTCGTCTGATGAAATGCAGTGAGGGAGGAAGCATGTCCTTTCCATCCCAATTTTATGGAATCATAAAATATCCTAGATTAGGTAGTTCAATGCCCTGTTCTAAGCAGATCTAATTAGATGAAGATACTCATGGACTTTTCTGGTCCATCCTCATGGTATTAAACAAATAAATAGAAGTCCTGCTAAGTAGAATTTCCCAAATTCCAATTTACGTTCACTGTTCCACTGCAGTACTCCTCCAAGAAGGGATCTGGCTCTGTCTTCTCTGTATCAGATAGCTGTAGACAGCAGTAAGGTCTCCCCTTCCCCTTCTCTGGTCCAGGTAGAAAAATGCCATCTGTTTTTGTATGTCATATGCTGTAGCTCCCCTACTAGATTGGTCTTTACTTTCATGAATTTCTAAGAAATTAATTTTGTGAAGTGTTTTTTTAGACTGACATCTGTATATCCTTAAAAGTTTCCAGGAGAAATAATAAATTATTTGAACCGTAATCTTAGATACATTGAGATTATTGTGCACAACTCTTCAGATGACGATTGTTCATTTACATTTATTAAATTTATTTAGAATCAGTTCATGAGGTAATATTGGGAGTATTTTTTATCTGTGATACTCCTTAGTAGTGGAGATATACATTTTTGGTGAAGAAGAAAGGTGGTGTTGCAAGTGGTAGAGTACTCTGATAGCAGTTTTAATGACTTCCAGTATGAAATGTAATAAAAAAAAAAAAAAAAAAAAAAAAGCAAATGTTACCCAGTAGATGAATTTATTCACATTGTGTCATACACAGAGGGCCTACTTCTTCATGGAGAATTTTGAGGAGGGGGAAAAAAAAAAAAAAACCAACATTATGTTCTTAGGTAACCTTCATATTTTTTTCCTGTTTTTTCAAATGTATTAATTTGTTTCTTAAGACACAAGCATAAATTGAATTGCATCAAAGAACATCCACATAGTTTTTAGATTGTTTTTACAAAATGTTTGGATGGACCATGGTACCATGTGATAACTGATTGTGATAGGCAATCAGGCTTCTGGTGTTACTGTTATTGTCTCCCTTTATAAAATACTGGTCAGTTATTTTATGGATACTTGACAAGGAAATAAAAAAGTGCAACCATCAGAACAATGTAAAGAAACTCATACTATATTATAACTTGCAGGGATTTTTCTAAATTAAAGAGAGTGATCAATAAAACTGGAAAAAAATAGTGATTTTGTACATGGCATTTTCCAAGAATAAATGCAAAGTCCTCCATTAAATAAAGTAATACAAACTATTGGAAAAAATCCCTGAACAAGTGTAAGAAGTTAAGAGGCTATGGGGGAGAGAATGTATTAAGTACTATATTAAGCTAATTACAGAACGATATATTTTTATGTACATAAACAGCAAACATACTCAGAGAGATAAATAGTTCTAGATCTAGGTAAGTTTTATATTAGAGTAATGTTTGAAGTTCAGTGACAAGGCAAAATGCGTATTCCTAAAACTATTTTAGATATTTTTCACAGTTCCAGTTATTCACTAACACATACATAATATAAATGATCAGTAAAACACAGTCCTTCGGTTGTCTGACAGTTTCTTGGATATTCTTTTTATTCAGTCATTTGGCCAAATCACTGTTATATCTGGTTGGTGCCTTAGGCTTTGTGTCTAGTTGAATAATATGTGCTTTAACTGATCAAGACTATTGCAATTCAAGGATTGGAATGAACTGATCTCTTCAGAATGCTAGTGCATGTTTTCTGGGCTTGAAAATGAGAGTTGCAGATGTGTTTATATGCTTGGCAAGTAAAGTCTTTGAAGACTATACAATACAAAATTCACATAAGAATGCAAAAGCATTTAGAAATCTGCTGGTCGAATCATCATAGTCGTGGCTTTGAGAGAGTATCCCGAGCCTTTCCAGTAGTACCACTTAATACCATTGAACTTGTTGTTGTTCTGTCGTAATGGATAATACATTCCATTGAGGTTAGAAGGACCACATGCATCAAACCACCACCCTGCAAGACCAGAACACAAAGATAAATACCAGCAAATGAAAATGTCAGCACAGATAATTTTTAAAATAGCATACATGAAGCTTTTAACACTTTATTGTCCCAACATGAGAAACAAATCCAAATCCAGCATTTAGTTCTCACGATTTTGAAGTGTTAATATAAGAGATTTACCCCCAGCCCAGTATGGAAAGGTATTAATTACATATTCTTAAAGCTTAATGTAATTCCTAGGAGTGTAAAGTTGAAAAGGGAAGGTATTCAATCTACCTTACTGATGTCAGCTATTATTGACAATTGAAGGGTAGACCTTTACTCAAACTGTAATGATATTGCATTTTCTTTGCTTTTCATCTGTCCTTTTGTAAATTCTTGTCCTTCACAGATGTTAATTCCTTTCTTAATTGTTTTTAGAGGATTAATTCAGTTATTTGTTTTAGTTCTATGTGCAGATCAGTTCAAAACAACTGTGTTGAAACTTGGTAAGGAGGAAAAAGCAGCCCAAACTTATTTTGCATCTTTATGGTCCTGACCTGTTAGTTGGTCATAGGGAAAATTTACTTTTATTAATAAGATAATATTTTTATACTTCTGTTATGAAGGCGATAATGTGCGAGTTCTGTTTTACAGGGCAGCAGTCCAATTATCTTTTTGGATCAACCGAAAGTCTTTTTGTGCTATAGGGAAACAAAGCATTTCTTAAGAGATAACAGGAAGAGAAGTCAAACTTACAAAAGCAGTTGTTTGCACTACAGAATGTGGAAGGCCAGACTGACAAATTATAGAGTGACTTGTGTAGCTAAAGGTAAAAACTTCATTGAA